GAAGATTGAAGAAATCATCCACATGATCATAAGCGAGTTGGATGAGATCTGCATCAACCCTATGGTTGGTCACTTGGAAAAAGCCGTGCCTCAAGCAAGAAGACCTAATGAGCTTGGCAGCATTCTCAGTTGCCACAACATCACCATTGAAGAAGCCCTCAAGATCCACTACTGGCGCATTCAGCTCTTCTTGAGCAGAAGCCGCGTCCTCCTCAGGCCATTTGAAATTAGCGGGCACATGGGATTGTTTTTGCAGGTAATTTGAGTCAATAAAACGGGAACCATCCTTTGATGTAGGAGGAGGAGAGGACAAGACAACAGAGGGACTTGAAGCCATATTGGACAATTTTCTTTTTTCTTTTTTGCTTGAGATTGAGAGAGACACAGACAGTTGAGAATAGGTCAAGGTATGCAGGGAATTTATATACAATCCATATGGGGTCTGGGAAATGTAATTCAGATCAATTTTTAGCAGTAATTATTCTTTTTGGTTATGTACCGAGCATGTTTGGATAAAATGATTTAAAATGAAAGAATTTGATTGCTTTCCATACAAATACAATTAACTTGTTTGGAAAAAAAAAAACAATTAAATTGTATTATGGTTTTTTTTATTTATGTACATACTATGTATAGTAATCTTACCAAACAAAAAGAAATAATTACTATACATATGGCAATTACTTTTGGCCATGTGAGGAGTTCATTGTATAGAATTGATTTAAAACAAATTTGGATGTGTCCTTCCATAGGATTATTTTCAAATAAAGTTTCATTAATTAGTATCTACTCCTTGTAATCTGGACATATACAATGTATTTGAATAAACTATATATACAATGCATCAAAAAAATAAAACAAGGTAATCTGGACATGTACAATGTATTTGAATAAACTATATACCAATGAAGTTGCTATGAGCAGGAGAGAAGAGGAACGGTGAAATTGTTAATTTGGTTGAATAGGCTTTTGTCATTTTAGTTTTAACAGTCTATAGCTACGGACGTGCTGGATGCGTAATTGGCCATCCAAAGATATGCTCTATTTTAGACTTCAACATTTAATCTGATTAGAAATGGTTTGGGAGGTGTGTACTTAACTTGTGTTACAAGTAATGACAAAATAATTGTCCAAGTAACAGCCTCCTCACTATGCCAAAGGGGTATGGGATGCTAACATCCCCACACATTCTATTGGCAATCTGTCCTTATGGTTTGGGGAAGTTGTGCTTCTTATGCTGATCTTGATGTGGCTGTTGCTGGGGGTAGAATCAGGTCGGCAACTGACCCGACAGGAAGGAATTGAAAATCGTCTGACATGCCTCGGTATGGCCTAAAATGGAACCGCCACCGAGCCCGCAATGGTCGGCAACAGGCGCTTTTGGTCTCGGTTGGTTCCGGTCGGATACCGCCACCATCAACCACCACCATCAGTCTTGAAATTTTTTTAGTTGCAAAGGCAAGTGAGAGAGAGAGAGAGAGATCAGACCGACTAATAAAGTCAAATACATACTATTGAACCGACTAATTAATTTTATTCATTCATTCTTTTTTTATGTGTCCTATTTTGAAATCTCATAATTAGACCGACTTATAAAGCCCAATACATGTTATTGAACCGTTCTATGTTTAAACTCTTTCAATCAATTAAAGAGGTGGCTCTCAAGAAGCTGATTGTGACTGGCTCTTTGTGATACCAGACTCTGTAAATATGAACTATGCTTAAACGCATCCAGCCAATTGTTGTCTATGTTTTACACCAGAAACCTTACAACCCAATTAAGCAGGGTTGGCATAGTTAACAATTCCTATATACACATTTTTTTTTAATGAGGATGGGTGATAGAGAGTTTCGAAAACAAAAAAATTCGATAGTTAAAAATGACTTATTACTTTATTTTCTCCATTTTCAGCTTTCCAAAGCACTTATTGGTTTTCAACAAAAATACAACTTTTTGGTGGAGTTTTTACACAAGCTCATAAAATGGGGGCCGTCCTAAAATTGGAGCCTTGTGAAAGGACACACATTGAGCACCCCCAAAGCCCATGGGGATGACAAAAATTCCAATTGGGTCCTAAAACGGAAATTTCAAGAATAGGTGGGGGGGTGGTGGGGTGTCGAATATTTTGTTCTAAATCTAAGTCGGAGATAAGGGTTAGGGCAGGTATGTCATTATGATCAAAATATTAAAGCATATGTACAAAATTTGCTAAGTTGAAGCAATGGAATATTAAGTTTTTCATTTAACCATTCTTTAGGATTTTTTTTTCAATACAAGCAATAGTCTAAATAACTTTAAATTAATCTCATCTAAGGTGAGGGGGACTCGAACTTGAATGCAAGGGGTGCTGACTGAAAACTCTGAAAATATGAAAAATATCAGTTGATAGAAAGATATGCTTAGTTGATTCCCCTGCCACTTTACATACCACACACCAATGAGGGGCTAAAGAAAGAAAAGCACATGAAAAATTCATTTAATTCCATTGAAGAGATTTAGAAAAATACAGTTCAACCCTTCATCATCATAAAAGAATATTGATCTAAAGTGTAATTAATTTCTATGAAGTTGGTTTCCGAAACACGAATCCAAAAGAATCTCTTCAAACTATATCTGTATGTATTATGTACTAACAGTTACTCATTGAGACAATAAGTTGATACGTTTTGCTTACTCATTGATGAGTAAGAGCATAGGTAGCAGAAGAAGTTGATCCAAGATGTTGGTGAGGTTCCTCCTTTGTGGTGGTGCTATTAAGCTTGACAAGCACAAAGCGAAGCTGAGAAACGCCACTGACGCGGAATGACCAGTTATTTGCCTTGGCAATCTTGCTGCATCCAGTTTGAACATGAACCCCTTCCTCTTTCTTCTTTTTCTGGCTCCCACTCTCAGAACTATTAGGATCATCATAACATTCTCTCTTCCTTTTCAGTGTTTTCATGTTAAGAGAAAGATGACCAAGTCTGCTCTTTTTCTTCTTTGGAATGAAAGTTTCATTCAACTCAAACCCTTGCTTGTCGGTCAAAACCCTTTGTTCCCTTCCCTTCCGAGCAAAAAAGTTGATCAACTCTTCAACAACGGTCTTTTTGTCCAAAAGCAACTCCATTGATTGTTGAGTTGCTACATCAGCCAACAGGTCTAAGGAAGACAGATATGAAGATGAAGATGAAGATGATGATGTTGATGCCATTTTCTGTGTCTTGATGGCCATGACCTTTTTCTCTGTCTTGATGGGCATGGCCTTTTTCTCAACATCTTCCTCCCAACGTTTGACAACAGCTTCATCAGACACAAGATTCAGAGAATTTGAAGGAAACCCGTCAACCCTAAAATCAGTAACCCTCATTATTCTCATCATTCCCATTGAAACAAACCCACAGAGAAACAAATTAAACTCAGAAAGGAGACAAATTTACCACTCTAGAGTGACAGAATGATCAGAAAGACAAGTGGGTTTCACTCAGTTGAGAGGGTTTCCAAAAGGAACAGAGCGAGAGAGACGGAGAGAGTGAGAAACAAAGGGTTTGCTTTGAATTGAAATGGGTTTCACGCAGTTGGGGTTTCCAAATTGTGATCAGAAAAACAAGTGGGTTTTACTTATATAAATAGGATTTCCTTTCCTGAGCGTAGTAGGAGTCGAGAGAGAGAGAGAGAGAGAGAGAGAGAGAGATTGTGTTTTTCCAAATTGCGATGGGAAAAAGATTTTCGACCTGCCTGTTGGGCGATATCACCAGGCGATTGGGTTCTTGAACCCCAAGCAACTCTCAGTCCCAACTTAGCCAACTAGCTGTCAAGCCCAATAAATAAAATTAAATCATTATACTGTCTATATAATTTGTGTTTTCTTTCAAAATTTCAGAAAAAATGAGGCTATTGGCACCAACATGGCCTCTGCTCCGCATTGTGTTTTCTACTTTTATTTTTAATTTAAATAAATTGAAATCTAGTAGAGAAAAATAAAACGTGAAAAAGTAGAGAAAATGTGATAAGTAGGTCCATGTGCAAAGCAAAACCCTTCAAATTAGATAGTCATGTTTTGTGTTATATTGGATGCTTATAGTTTTTACAACTAGAAAAATATTAGGAATGACAAGTTTTGAAACAAATCACTCATTCGGAAGTTATGTATAGTCAATTTGCTCCAACGGAAACAACCAGCCCAAACAGCCTGAGAGAGGAGATTGGGCGGCAACCACGGCTGAAAATCCATCTGAAAGAAATGAGTCCTATTTGGAGGCACTAAAAAATCATCCCAAATATCTCTAGCCTTGCAGCACAAGAAGCATCTACTGTCAGCTACCTTCTCTCTGCTCACAGGAGAGAATGTTCTCATTGCATCTACTGTCAACTTCCACAAAGCCCTTAACAAGACCAAGTACATACACAAAAAATCGACCCCCCAAGAAAAGAAAGAGTACAAGACCAGCTTCTCTTCATTTTTACATTTTGGTTCTCCAACTTGAATATTGGCTCCAATCGTCTACTTCACTTCGTCTCGTACCATTGGTCGCACCACCACCAACGAAGTCCAAAGGGAAGGTGTCAATCCCCACCCAACACTGCAGCCACTCCCCCTTCCCCCTGTCCTCAAACTTCATCCTTAAATCCCCTTTTGTTCTACAGAAGGGAGGGTGGCTTCCCGTTGGGAAGGGTGAGTTAGGCAGTGGTTACTGCTTATTATTGATCTAGACACAATTGGACTCGGGAAGAGGAACTAGGTTAAATTTGTGGAGTAATGCAACAACTACGATAGGTAAGATGGTGCAAAGTAGAAACTACGTGAAATGATTGTTTTTGCCCATATATTTAACGAAAAATGTAACAGATTATGATTATTGGAACAACAATCAATTACTTTGTTTTACACACATGAAAAGAAAACGAAGTTGACATATTTCTACGAATTTTTTGAGAAATGGTTCTAAGAATTTTTTTAGAAATGGCTCTAAGAATTATTAACGGCCAAGTGAACAAGAAAAAGCATTTGGTCATGAGAGAGAGAAATTATGCTTTGATTTTATTTTCTAGTATTTATATATATTTGAATCTATGTACAGATTTATGGAAATTCACCTAGCTCAAGTAAAAATTTAGGAGCCTCTATTCTTCAACTCAAACTACAAACTACACAAACAGCCGGTTGAGGCAAAAGGAATTATATCCTAAGTCAAAGGACTTTAAGGCGAAAGAGGCAGTAGCTCCAATCCACAGTGCTCTAAGTTAATCAATTCTCCTACACCAATGCATGTTCTCAAAATCAATATCAAGGAACGCATGCTTCTTTGGAAGATAAACACAACATCTGAACTCTGTCTTTCTTCACCATGAGTGATCACCTGAGTCAGAATTTATAATTATCTCAGTTCTGCTCCGTGCTCGACTGGGAATGAAATGGACCCCGTCCTGTACTCTCAAAACTGCCTTCAAGGAATCTCTTTGGAGGCCATAATGCTTCCCTCATTAAAATCCTCGTAGGGTGAGGATCCACCACTGGAAGAATCACTCTCAAATGCAGTGGTCTCCCTCGGAGATGACGGAAGTGAATCTCTCTGTTGGGAGGACGAACCTTGTACAGACAAAAGAAAACAAGTTTCAGTCTCAATGTCAAAAAAACTCAACATATGTATCCAACAAATGTCAGAGAAAAAGGGAGGTTGGATGGGGAACTATAGGATCACCAAGTACCCCTTAATAGTCTCTAAGTAAATGACATCCCTGAGAAAGAACATGACATGCTCTATGGCTTTTCTAGGTCCTTGAAGAAGAACCACAAAACAATAAAAAGTATTAAAAAAATGTGATAAGGTGATTGATCATTTTTTAAAAGTGAACAAGTCCACAAACCTTTTCTTGAACGGAACTTTTTTGTGTGGCGCCTGATGAGTCTCTTCGCTTTTGTTATAGTAAGCTGCCTAGCAAATGGAGAGAACTCTACATCGCTTTCACTCCAATCTCCTTGGAAATCATTCTCTGCTTCACCCCTCATGGTCCGCAGGACGAATGCCTTGGCCTTGCGTCGTTGAGTATTGAAAAGGCCTCTGATGGAAGTGACAAATCCATCACCTGCTCCATCACTAGGACGCTTGAGAAAGGTTATTGGAAGCTGGTCAGGTTGTCCTGGCTGACCTTCATTGTCGCTGAAATTAAGGTCACTATCAGGAACACCAGATCCACTGGGTTCCCTCTGACTATTAGCCTTGTCTTTGAACTTCTTACCCTATAAAAATGGACAGAGAGAATTGAAAACCAGGGTTGAACAGGAAAAAGGTAAGTGACATAGCAATTCTTCCAACAGCACATTCAAACAATAAAAAATCCTAAGCTTACTCAACACAAATGTTATCTTAGTATAAGCAAGCTGCTTAACGAAGATCTGAATGAAAAACACGTTAGAGATCTGTAACTGATAATGTTTAATTCCTCCATCATGTTTAAATCATTGAAGGTCAAGTTTGAATAGCAGAGATATTTCCAGCTGTTAGGAAGAAATCAAACTAAATCATGGTGTTAGGGGGGCGGAAAGAGAAAGGGGGGGTTGGGGGTAAGAGGTAAGGAACAATCAGAGTACATTGGATTTTGCACGCATAATTAGTAAGGGTAAATGTAGAAAGGTGTAAATGCAGACCTGCATTCCTGTCACAGACTTCAAGACTCCCCAAATGATATGCTTCTTAACCCGTGAAAAGAGTCTGCGCCAAGTACCAGTGAACTCAACACGGTGAAATGTATCCATTAGCAACTTAAGATCATTTACAACAAATCTCGATCCTTCATAAGTAACACATAGCTCAACCTGTAAAAATATTATATTACTTAAGATCATTTACAACAAATCTCGATCCTTCATAAGTAACACATAGCTCAACCTGTAAAAATATTATATTAAGCATTTGACTAGAAAAAGTAAATTGGTACAATATGAGATGATGAAACTGAACTAACCTGGCTTATCTTGATGTTGTGGAACTCCATCATCTTCCGAGGCCTGGATCTTTTCTCTTCCTGTGACTTTGCCACCTTCTTTTCTTCATGGGATGACCTGCCAGATTTGATAGCTTTGGGTTCTTTCAATTTATTCTTCGAGGACTCATCTGGTTCACCAGAACCAAGTGGCCCAGTAATGCTCTGTAAGACAAGTTCTGTAGCAACTGACTCTGCCACAGTCTCTTCCCATGATCTGTCAAAGGAAGATGTTCGTCTCAATTCTCGGGTTGGACTACTAACAATTGTTGCTTTTAGGTTTTGCAATTTTGATTCCTGCAGAAAGGAATCAGGTCAAAGAAAAAGATCATGAAAAATGTAGTGTTTTCTCAACGATCATGTCCAAGAAAATAAGATATAAATAAATAAATTCTCTATATCCATTCTAATATAAAATCAAAAGCTCACTTAAATGTAGCCATGCAATACTAAATAACCATCCACTAACTGATATAAAGATAATCTAGAAAACAACACAGCTCGCCATCATGCAATCCATGCATGTGGAAATACTAGTAAGGATATGGTCGTGGCTATCTTTCCTGAACATACAACTAACAAAAGCATCTAAAATATATTGCTCCAAGAAAGAAATGAAAGAAGAGTCCATGGGAATCTCACTTGCACAGAATCTGCATGAACAGAGGATTGACTCGTAGGAGGGGCAAAGGCACTTGATTTGGATGCGGCCTCAGACTCTTTAATTGTCTGACTGCTTGAAGCAGAAGTGTCCGGGATTAAAGAGCCTTTCTTCACACGTTTTGCACCAGCGGTTGTTGAAACCTTCCAAACTTCCTGCATGTCACAATTGGACAAACCAATTGTTTTAGTACTGATGACAAATTCCTTATACCTTGACAGAAGCAGTCAAATTTCAAATCATTAACATTTCCAACGGACCTGCCGTCTCTGTGAATCTTGTTCTTCTTCTGGGAATAAATATCCCCACATCATTCTGTACATTGTCTCTGTTAAATGGATCTTGAGGGGGTAAATCTCTACCTACAGTTTTAAAAAAGAGCTTGTTTAGCAAAAAATTATTACTTCACTGGGGCAATATCAAGAAATTCAATTATGTAGCCTCTTTATTTCCAAACAAAAAGTTTATTTTAGACAAGCAAGATTCCCTTCCATCTTGTGCATACGTGTTCATAAATTAGTATCACTGGTCAAATATGGATACATGGTAAGCTGTTGTAAGCTGTCTTCCTGCATATGAACATCAGTGTTACGAACCCTTGTCTTCTTCTATTAGTTATAGTGTAATTCTAATGAAAAATAGTAGCATAATTAAGTAGAGCTTTCAACTGGAAACATTCTCAGAAAGCCTGCTTTCAAACAATTCGTCCTTTGCCCCCTCTTTAGTCTCCATAGAAACTCATTCCAGTCCTAGGGTTTAAACATATTCCAGATGGGTGTCACATGCTCCAAGGATTAATTTGGAGGATACCGCTGCAAAATAGCTATTTTTGTTGGAATCAGCTAGGTTATGACTAGAATTTTGGGTATTTGAACATGCCTGGTTGCCCATGTTTAAGCCCATAGAATCCCAGAATTTAAAGAAAATAAATTGCATTGCATGTTAAGTTTTGTTAATGGACCATTGTTTCCAAAAGCTTGAGTGTCTTGTTAGGATATGGTCAACTATTGTTTTTATATTCTAATATTTCTCATACCAAGTTCCTGAACTCTTGGTTGTAATCTGCCAGGTTATGACAACAATTTAAATATTTGACTACCTGGCTGCCAATGTATAAGCCTTTAGAGCCCCACAGTTGCTCATGATTACATATTACTTAAAAGAAAAGCAGAATTTCATGTTAAGTTGTTAGCCCACTCTAACCCCCCCGTAACTTCAATTACAATTCTTTTTCTAGAAGAGTTAAAATTTTATTGCAGAAGACAATAAAAGCGGAGGTGGTCAAGAAGGCCACAACAGACAAACAGAAAAACAACATAGTGAGCAAAGCAGACCTCTAAGACACCTATGAATTAACTAAAAGGAGAAGTGTGAGGTTTGAAAACTTGGCTTTCCGTGGGAGGATCTATGACAGCCACCAGCCAGAGCAACTCAAAATAAGCAACAACAAAAATAGGGGAGTAGAGTGACCATTCTGGGAGGTGGCAACAGAAGCACTCATTATATTCTGTAGAGAAACTTTACGGAAAATGTAAAACTAAACACTTTAAAGAGAGAGCGAGAGAGAGAGAGAGTGAGAGAGAGAGAGAGAGAGTTTAAAAAACCTATAACCTGGAAAAGTTCAAGAGGAGAATTTCCATCCTTGGGAGCTCCCTGCTTTGCATCCACGCGAAGCATAACTTTCCTGTAGCCAAAACCATACATCTTACAATTTTTGAACGATCAAAGGATACATTTTAGAAAGTAGCTAATTACCTCCCACTAAAACTGTGATGAGTTTCGCACACGAAAAATATTCAACTAGAATAGAAAAAACATTAATGTTGGTTGTATAGATCAAGACTTACAAACGATATTCAAGCAAATTCATTCAACTGAACCAAACGAAAAGACAATTGAAGGCATGGAGACAAGAAAAAAATTTCCACAGCGAAAACCAAAGAGAGTGCCTCTATGGCATGATGACCTGCTAAAACATATATATATATAGGGAGCTGTCATTGGCACTCCAAAAAAGTTATCCTACACTCCTTTATAAAAACATAAGGGAGGAGTGCCAATAACGGTTTCCTATTACATATAAATATGATTATTACTAGAGCATTTTTGCATGATCTGATCTGAGTAACAGCTTTCAAAACATTTTATTCAACTGTAGCATAGGTGAAAGGAGCAACACAATAATGCTCTATGGTGGTTCACACTATACAAAGAAAAGCTAGAGAATGTTATTCTGGGGAAGGAAAAACAGTGATAAAAGCACAGTTATTTAACATAGGATCTAAATATGGAACAAACGAAAAAAGGTGCATACTTTCCCCATTCAGGAGGAGGATTCCATGCTGATAAAAGCATATCTGACTTGGCATTTGCCAGGCAGTTTCTGACAACAAAATTTTTCGTTGTAAACTGAGCAACACCAACATCCTTGTAATCCCGGTCAAAGTCATAAATCTATAAGGAGAAAAATGAAAATCATATCAGCCTTATTCTTGAGAAATGAATGCTATCGAAACTACAATCAAAATATACATAGGATGTATTTATGAAAGTTAACTAAAGTGAACAAACAACAGGAGTATCAGATCCAGCCAAGACTGGAGCATGCTTGTCAAACACCATGTAACATCTTACGTAGATTTTCTTATACTTTCTTTATGAGAAACAATATTGTATCAAATAACTTGGACTCACAATGCATAACTTAATGAACCAGAGGTCCACCAACAAAATGATACAACCCTCAAAAGAAAATCCAAAATAAACCTCTTAACATTGTAATCAAACTCAAAACTATCCTACAGGAGCTCCCCAACATGGATATTGTCCCCAACTTAACTACCTAGGTCAAATACCTTTGGTGGGATTATACTCAACAGACCCATGCAGATGTTCGGTCAAAAGCCATTGGTACTATTAGTAGATTATTGTGGTACTTCTCCAATGTGGGATTATGCCCATCCACGTCCATGGCTTGTATCAAGCCCCACAACCCAACAATCTCCACCTCGGTGAGCCCCAAGCCAAGATGTGGGATTATGCTCGTCCACATCTATGACTTGTGCTGAACCACACAACCCAACAAACATATTACAATTCCATAGAATTCTTGCCTTCCTTCTGCCACCAAAACACATACTTTTTCACAAATAATGTTTCATGGTCAATGGAATAACCCAATTAAACCCTGCCTCCCGGACTAACCGCATCCACAGCCTCAAATCATATGGACGATGTAAGGACAAGTAAGTTCAAAATTCCACTCTTTTTGCACAAGCGTAACTATTAAAATGGCCATTAAAAAATTTCAGAAAAAAAAAACCTGAGATATGAAGCTATAATATTGGTCATACAAAGCTTTTAAAGCGCAAATTTTAGGAGTAAAGTAGTCACCACTCAGTCACCACTCAATCTTTCACTAAAAGACAAAAGTATATTTCATTTCTTATGATCTTAAGATGCTCAGTGCTCACCATGTCATTGATCTCAGCCTCCGCAAACGATTTACCATCAACAAGCATGCTCCAAACCACTTTGTTAATTTGCAAAGAAATGCGCATAGCATATGATGGACTTTTGTTCTTCTCCTTTTCCATCAGCCGTAGCTGTGCAGCCTTATGTAGAGCCATTCTTAAAGATGCATATGATGCTTTCCTTGATTTTTTTGAATTAACAAGCTCTCTTTTTAGTCCTTGCACCTGGAAGGAGAAAATGATATTGCTCATAATCTGATTAAGTACTGAGGGACCAAAGACTAGAATAGCCATACAAGTACAAACAATATACACACAGAGAGAGAGAGAGAGAGAGAGAGAGAGAGAGACGTCGAGAAAGCTTCTTTGTGAAAGAACAAAGTCTAGTGTCTGAAACTACACTACTTATATCCACTCGAAATGAAAAATTTGTGTAGGATACTCATGCTTGGTGTTTATTAGTATGGAATCATGGAAGTTCATCGTTAGACTACCATCAAGTGCAGGAAAGTAGATTCAAAAGTATGTTAAATGGGATCAATATTGTAAATTTCCATTTCATACTACAAAATGAAACGACATAAAGGGGAACCAGTGCAGAAAGAGCCACTCCAATCTTCTGTGAAATTTTCAAGTAGACTGTCAGACTATGCACATGAAACTCAACTTCAAGATGGAATAGTAAATACAATGTTAAAAAGCGTGGTCTGTTAGGAGAATAGTAAACACAATGTTTGCAAACTTGTGAACAACACAAAACTGAACAACAAAGAAGGAAATATGTGTAAAGGTAAGGTTCCCTGCAAAGGCGGGGCCATTGACCGCATGCAGAAGAAGATATGGGATTAAAAACAAAGGATATCCTACTTGCTCATAACGAGTAAGTTGAATAACTCCAAAAAACAAAAACAAAAAGAATTCAAATGACTATTGGGTAGTTATAAATAGAAAATACATTTTAGTAGAACTGTACTGTAGAAGTGCTTTTCTTATTTTTCAAAAAGAGAACACTATTCCATGCCAAGTATTTATCAGAAAGTATAATAAGTTAGATTTTTCATTTACTTTAGAAGTTTAACAGTTAAATGTAATTTAGGTAGGCCTGACATGGCTACACAGGCAAGAAAAATTAACTTAGAGAACTCTTAACAAATTATGAACCTTGGAAAGCATTACTACCAAAATTTAAATAATAAAATTTCTACCTGATTAGCAACCCAATCAGCAAACATGAGAGAGAGAGAGAGAGGGAGCAACACTACAATCCTATCATAACACATACTATAATGAGTCCAGAACTAGCTCTATAGTTTCATTCATCACTTTATTGTTATAGTTATTTTGACTATCTATACACATAAAACAAATGCGACTCGAGAAAAAAAATATAATGATAAAACCCACAAAAAATGTAATACTTTCATCGACTATCACAAAATTTCAACAGGTTCTGTAAAATGTTTGTTTCTCACCAGAGTGGATCTTGTACAATTTATCATCCACAAGTCCCCCTCCTTTTCTGGATATAGGTCTCCAGTGGTATCACACCGAAGAGACAATTTCCGTATATCACCAAGAATCAATTTCTGCTCCCGCTCTTTCTGCTCAAGGTCCACTTTTGCAAGCTCTACCTCTTCAACACCATCGGGAACCACCTCATCGGACTCCTCCTCCACATCTTCATCATCTTCAGCAGGAAGTGACAGACTACTTTTTCGAGGCCTGAATCACATGTATAGTAAATCAATTTGAATAGTTCCATGACAAATGCATCACAGACAACCTTTCCACTGGCAGTTTCACATTTAATTTGAGAATTTTATACGACAAACAGTTCATTGCATCAGACAATCAATATACCAATTTTGCAAAGTGAACCATACTTATCAATATTCAGGCAAAAACATAAACCCTTATCAATATCAATTAGACCAAATGCCCCAAAACTTTAAGCTGTTAAGAAACTAGATAATATTCTCTTTCAAAACAACCAACCTCTTGAATACTCCATTTTTGTTTACTAATACCTGAATGACAAGCATCTAAGCATTTAGGGAAATTCTTTTTGGTTTGATTTATCTAGATTGGGGGAATTCATGATATAATATTAATGTTTGTAAGTTATTAGTTAGACCCATAGATGGATTTTTTTTTTCTGCTTTTTCCCTTCAAAAACAAAACAGCTCTTTCTAATTGCTAACAACAATCAAATTAAAGAAAAGTGAAAGAGAAGCCCACTGCAAAGAAAACAGTGAAAACCAAAGCAAAAGCACAATCGTTCTTTGGAATTCTGTTTTTGTTCCCTTGTTTTCCCCAAGGATTGAGGTGTTGGTACAGTTTGCATATTTACTTTTCTTTTAGAAGTGGATTCCTTGTGTTCACTTTTGTTGTACTGTTTATTTTTTACTAAACTTTGATGTTTCTTATAAATAAATAAAAAGTACAATAACTCCCTAACTTCTTCTCAAAATGAAATGAAGAAATCTTATGCAATTTTCTAGAATTATTGTCCATCTTTCTTTTGTATTTTTCTATTACATTTACTGTTTCTTAATCAAAATAAAATGAAGAGATCTTATGCCAATGCACAAGATACAGATACGAATTCCAAATATGATGAAATTCCAAAAGAAGATAAATCAGATTAAGAAGAAATAGGATGTAAATCCTCACTTGGGAAGCCGTGCAAAGAGAAGATTTGTCAACACATCCAGCATAACCTGAAACTGGCGAGAGGTCATTGTTGCCGTAATATTATGAGAATTGAAAGTCAGCTCTTTCAAGGGCTTCACCTGCAAGAGAAAGATTCAAAGGCAAATTCTTAATGCAGAATAAATGTGAACATTCACATATTAGGCTAGGATAATAGCCTCAATATTTAAAGAATGATAACATGCATATTTTTTAGAAACAGACTATAATTGCCACAGGGCAAAAAGCCACAAAGACCAACAGAATGGTTGAGAAAGCCAGAAACACGCATATGAATGTTTATACTGTAGGCACACACCCGGATGAATATATATTTAAGCATATATCAACATACGCAATATGTGGGTAGAATTTATTGTAAGCCTATATAAACACTGGAATCTATATAAACTATCCAGTAATTATAAAGGGCCAAATCACCTTTAACTCTGGAGTTCCACCTTTGTGCCTTGTGTACCGGAAGTACATATCACAGGGCATAAATACTCTCTCAAGTAATGCACCAGTACGTTTTACTTTTGGAGAGCTTCTACGAATTTTTGGAAGCCACTGCAATCCAGCCCCTGGATCAACATCAGTTGGTGCAACATGAGCTTGAACATGCTCCAGCATTACAGAAAACTCCATGCGTTTCCATGTCATTTCAGGTTCACATTCAGGAATATTTACATTCCCAGTACCAAGTGCTTGCTCAATCACCTCATAACCAACATGAAGGACTGAATGAAATGACCGGGCCAAAACCCGGCCACTAACTGCAGCAAGCAGAAATCTTCCCTGTTTAGCAAAAAGAACAGTTACCCTCAGATGTCACTACATTTTTTTTATTTCTATTTTCTCTTCTTTTTTCACAAATTTAAAAAAATTGAAGAGTGCATAATGCATAAACACATGTCTCATATGGCTTGGACGTCCCAAACTTGTACTTAAGTTTTGCCAATGAAGTTTATAAACAAAACTTTCTAATTTGTAATGGCATTCTGAAAACAACAAAATATTAGCAATATCTTTCTCATTTGAAACTATTTTTTTATTATGTTTGATGGATACCAAGTCTGATTTAAACTTTTTTTAAAAAAAAATAAAGACAGAATTAAGAACAACCAAATAAGTGACGAAAATTCAGTGGTATATATAGAGCATCACTATGCACCTAAAAGAAAAAGAACCAGGCAGAAAAACATTAACTTCCCATCAAAACTACTTCCAAAAAGACAAACAAATATAAAATGAAGAACAAAAACCATTTACAGAAGGCACTGGAAAAACTACTTTAAAAATGCAATGCCATACATTATTAAAGGCTGATGACTAACCAGCCTGCCCTCCTACAAGCCATTACTGTGTTGTACAGATCATAATTATTGGTCACGTATCCAACAAAAGATTATGATTTGTTGTCTTTTGAGTTCAGTTTCCCTTTTGTTGTATGATCAAGGATAATTTTCCTTTTGATTATCAATACAAACGTTTCTATTTTTTTTTTTTAAACAAAAGATTATGATTTAACTTATAAGTAAAAGAAAGATTATGTGCCTTACAAGATACAACAAAAACTCAACAAAAGTAAGAATATGAATGCAAACATAATGGGACAGACATAGTCCACTTAAGTATAGGAACAGAGCATAACGATATCTGATAAGTGCAAAGAGTTTCTTCAAGGATATGGCTCTAAGTATCAGAGTGGATTTCAAGAACAATTAGATATAGAACAATGTGGTCAACCCAATTCAGTTGGGTAGAATCTACATTGAGTGAGGAAAATTTACGGACCAGAATTTCAAGTGCCCTAGCCATGAAATTTGGACATCCCTACATTGCATGATTCACATTATCTAAGACTTAAACGGTCGTTGTAGAATTGGTCAAGTCAAAAACACAGCAGTGCATCTGTAAAGTATTTGATTCCATCATATAATAGACTACCAGTCCCAACCAAACAATTATGGATAACATGCATCCATCACTAAGAAATCTCAAAGGAATATTAGGTTGTACTGCAAAGTTTCTAAACAACTTACATTGGCATCTTCTGAATGAAGATTAAATTGAGGCTCAATAACATTCACCATGAAATGCCGAGTCCCATCCTCTTCGGAATCACTTGTGTCTCTATTCTTTGCTGCAATCATAGGAAACAAATGACTCTTAGCAGAACTCAATATTATGCAATAACATCAGCAAACAATATTTCTTTAACATTGATGACATTCATCACTACATAGCTAACAATAATTCTTTTTCAACTTCTTTTTAGTTTAAAGTCTTGTTTACTATAAAAACCAAAAAACCACAGCATACCCAGATCAAAAGTAGACTTCTAAAACACCACTTAGTTGAATTAACACATTTTCATATTGGATGTAAAAAAACTGCAGAGAAATTTCATGAGGTGCTCAAAAATTACCAACTGCAACAGATGATGATGAGTTCCCAACTGAAACAGATGATGATGAGTTCCCAGATGCAACAGATGACGAGTTCCCAACTGCAGCAGATGACGAGTTCTCAGCGGCAGATGATGAGTTCTCCAATTTAACTGGATGTGATGGAGATAAAAGTGAACCAGAGGTCTCCGCATGCTCGACAGAAGAAGAAGTAACCCCATGGCTGGTAGTAGGGGGCTTAGAGCTACCATCTTGTTGCCTTTCACCTCCACTATGTGCCTTGTGCTCTTCATGTAATTTCCTTTGTGCATACTGCCTAGAAGGAGAAGGTTTTGGTGGCTGAAATGCTTTGGATAAACCACCAACAAAGGACCAAACAGCATCTCTATTCTCAATAGTCCACAAAAGCTTGAGGCCATAAACAAATATACGCTGACAATTGTCAGCTATTACCACATTGTATCCATCATCATCACTATGATCAGATCGAGTATGCTCATCACTCTCACTCCCGTTTTCAAACTCAGACCTCACATATGTCATCTCTAGATCTCTTCTTCCAGCCTCTTGCCAGGCTAATAACCTAGATGGGTCAGCTTTTGGGGCCTGCCTTCTGATTGTGAAATAATCAGATGACAATAGAAATCCATCATCACGATGCTTCTCTGTGCAGCTACTCACATTGTTACTTTTTTCATTGGGAACTCTATCCGTAGATGCAGATTGTGAATTTTTTATTGTCAATTGAACTACCTTTGCAACACTAGTGCTTTCTTCTTTATTTAAAAATGCCTTAGGCATATGAAGGTCGAAACACTGGTAAACAAGATCAAGGGGGTCACGCTTGCATTCAAAAGTATACTTTTGCTTACCACGACTATAACACATTTCACATTTCAGCTTTGTCATCTTGAATGTCAGTCCTTTAGCTGGATCATCATCATCTAGCGGCATATGCTTTATACAAGTAGGTGCAGCGTCAATCCGGAGCATAAATTCGGTCATCACTCTGTCCAACGACAAGTTACCAGATCTAGGAACTCTTGGAACTCCAAAACGAGGCCAGCGAGCAAAGGACCGCAATTTGTGAGGAGGGAGATAATTCATGTTCCAAAATTTTATCAACCATGCTAGATCATGAGCGCCAACATTCACTGTTGGTGAAAGAATGGGAACATTGTCATCTTTATGAGGAGGACCATAAACAGTTCCATCTACATCAGTACTACCTGCCTCAGTAGAATAGAGGCCTTGTTTCTCACGTGATGGAGAGGGTCTAAGAGAAAAAGTCCAGCGAAGGGACAGAGAGGTTGATCTGAATGGATCAAAAACCTTTTCACGAGCTCTTCCTTCAACAGGAAACGCAAATAAATAATGATTCATGGGATTGCCAGATTCACATTCCCAACCTATCGTAACTTCAACTGTAAAGGCTGGAGCTTCCAGCAATGCACCGGATATACCTTTAGGAAGTTTTAAACCACGACTATTTGCCAAACTCTCTAAACTGCTTAAGAAAATCTTAAAATCATTTGCAGAAACATAAACACGGCCATCTGACTGCTGAATCTCCATAGAACCAGTTATTACTTGAAGTTTGTCAAGCTTTTCATAAGGATCAGTAGTCGCAAGAATATTAAATATTGTTTCAGAAAATAATAAGTTGATGTTCCCATGAATATAATTCCTCATATCATCCCACCACGGTAAGTTCTTTTCCTTTTTGGGGGGAATGGGTGGTGGATTGGGGTTCCTAACACATAGATTAGCCCTGCGAAGAGCCACAGTAAAAGCATAACTCACATCAGCAAAAGCAGGTTCATATCCCACTCCAAAGGACACTTCTGCTTTCTGAAAATGTACGGACAAATCTGTAAATGTTTTCATGGGTGGAGTTGTGCCACTAGCAGAACGAAGCAAGTTCACCTTTCTCCATCTCCCAATATAAACTTCTTTGTGTATTTGAGGCTGAAAACTTGTTGCCTGATCCAAGGAAATAATTTGGAATTATACAGCATACATGCATAAGCTTCCATGTCATGACATGAAAGAATCATATGAAGATATAATTGTTGAATCATGATATACAAACAAAGGAAATTCGATACACTGTCAACTAACATTATCCAGGGTCAAATCACAGAAGACTCGAGAATGGTTCCCTTTTTAATAGGAAACAGAACCTATGAATCATAATATTGAAAACAAGTGACAGATATTCAGCTCCTCCTGATGGATGATGCTGCTATCAAGGCCCAGGATTATTTATGATTAGATTTTGCTCTTTTTAGGCCTTGGCCTTCATTATTACAAAAAAATAGAAATTCAAAATTGTTAAATTTCAGAGAGACGAGCCAACGGCCCACTACTAGTAACACCAATATTATCCCCAACTTAACCACCTACAAAGCCCAGTAGATGTGGGGTTTTATCACAAAAGGCCTAGTTTATATTAGTAGTGGAACCACTTATTATATATTATAATTTATTTAGTCAAGTTTCCAATGTGAGATTTTATATTCTTCAACACACCCCCTCACGTGGAACCACCACATAATGGGCCACACGTGGAGTTTAGTCCATACCAGAATCTATCATTCATGCCCAACATGTGAGCACCACGTATTGGGTAAGGAGTAAGGGTAAACATTCAAGCCAACATGTGCACACCATATATTGGGTAACGGTAAAAATTAAAGCTAAACATGTGAACACCACATATTGGGTAAAGGTAAGGGTAAAGGCCAAGTAATTCTAGCCTAGTCAATCAACCCACTCGGATACCATGTTAAATTTCAAAGAGACAGTCTAATGGTCCACTAATAGCAACACCAATATTGTCCCTACAAAGACCAGTAGGTGAAAGGCCTCAGTTATAATAGTAGTGGAACCACTCATTATATATTGTAATTTGTTTAGTCAAGTTTCTGATGTGGGACTTTATATTCTTCAGCAAAATTAAAATAATCAAACTAATTAAAAATAATAAAAATGAAAGAATAAAAAGGTGAAAGATACAAACAATGCAAACAAGCAGTCCACTAAAGATAACAGCCGCAGCCTACATGAGCAAAACAAAATAGCTGCACTACATGAACAAACAACACCTACTTTTAACCTAATCATTAAGAAATATCACGACATCCCTATTGATGCATTTAGATCCATGATCTATGTTGATATCCTATTTCTGAAATAATATTTGCATTCACACTAATACACAAGTTCCAAAACAGTAAAAACATGGCATACTTGTAAAGCAATACCAGCTCATAGTTCATACTTTCAAGTGTGCAAAAACATTTCCACTTAAATTCGTATAGGAAAAAAAGGATTTCCAAACTGGATTATAAAATAAAATAGTGTACACATACCAGCCAATACTTATTAAGAAAAACCAAAAAAATCATTTTTTTGTCAACATCTATCACAAATCAAGCAGCAATATGCAACTAAAAGAGCAGGCTGAACCTGGTCTTCTAAAACCCGTGGGCCACCATGTTTTGTATGTCTGTGTGCATGCACAAAGCCACAGATGCAAGTAATTATGTCACCAAATATCCAAAAGGAGACACAATATGATTATTTTAACTAATTTGAAAAGCAATCTTTCTAGAACCTAAACGATATAACTTATGTCATAATTCATAAGGTGGTCTATTCAACATTGATATTTTAGGCAATATTTTAATTCAACGGAATACTCTGGGGAAAACTTTACTGACTGCTTCGAGATAACTATTTGAAAGGTGAGATATAGGCACATAAGCTAGGAATTAAAACTTTGTGTCTAATAATCACTAATCGGCAATCTCAACTGATGAATTGATGTTCGAACCAGAATAACCTATTTGTGTGTCATTGTGTGGGTGTAGGTGTGATATAATTTAGCCCAAAGGATTGAACCTCCCAGCATATCAATAGGGCTGGAGAGCTGGAGAATTTGTTTAATCCTCGAGCTATTTTATCAACCTATCTAACCAAAGTTCATGTTTTGCAGCACAGACGTTCATCAGATCAAAAAATTCCATCTATTCAAGCAGCGGTTTAAGATTTTCTTTCTTATAAATATTTTATTTTTCCCCTAAACATGGCACCTGAAAAGTAAACTTACATACGCTAAACATAAAAAATTAGAAGAATGGCAGTAAAGGGAATGCCACGTTGCAACGTACCTGTTGTGCTAGCACAAGACGGCCTTCACATTTAACAGAAGCACCACACAAAAGAGGAGATGCATAGTTACGCAGCTGAACGACAACAGAGCCTGCATGCACAAGAAGATTACTCCCATACAGTCGAGAAAATGGTATATCATTGTCACGACAAACAGGATCCAGCGTCTTTATAACCTCTATCATCCCATCATCTCCACCATCAATCCTTGTCAAGCTTACATCCAAATCTCTTGCTGTTATGGAAAGAAGAGAATTTCTGGAAGTACTTGGCTTAAAACCAGCCTGAAACCCTTCCCTACAGGCACCTGAACCTTCTGATGGTGCTAGATTCTGGCATGCCTTGTAATATGATCTGAATGATTGTTTATAGATTTCTCCTTGCATCTTGCTAACTGCGGAAGGATCTCGGATGTCAATCTCAACTCCATTAAGGAAAGTCAGTCTTTCTTGAGTAGAATCAATTGTTTCAGTGGTTTTAGGAAACTGATTGACTTTGGAAACAAATTCATCAAGAAATTTCAACTTAACAGCTAACTCAGATGCCTCATTCTTCATCAGCTGATAGTGTTCATCAAGCCAGCCTTGCAGTGGCTCTTCTTCAATATCAGCAGTTATCTTTCGTATGCAGAACTTTAGAGAGCCAAACTTTATTGAACTAGGCTTCTTAGGTTTTGAGGTATCCTTCTTCATGGGAAAGATAACACTAGTTCTAGCAGCAATTACAAGCTTCAAAGCGCGCAACATTTCTTCAACAGAATCATCAATAGCACGCAATTGTAACCTGTATGGCAAGCAAATATGAACATCAAGGCCTTGAATTACCCAATCCCACGTCGTAGATATAGGTACTTTTGCATCAGATGGACATGAGGCACTAGGAATACGTGAAATTTGCATCCGGCTACTTTTGAATACTCTGGACCCATTGAAACAAAGCATAAGCCCTTCAAGAAGTACTCCTATACGGGCATTCTCAGAAAAAATTGATTGTACCTGAACCATTGCATCAACCCCATCCCCAACCTCGGCATAAATAGACAACATTTCCACATCGACAGCAAAAATAGATTCCTTTTTCTTGTGCTTTTCTAAATTTACTGGTTCTGCAATGGCTTCTTTCTTCTGTTCAGAACCTCTCATGACATCTTCCATATGTTCATTACCATGTCCCTGAAGCTTCTGATTATGTACAAGTAACTTCAATTGTAGCCCAAGTTCAACTAGCGATAATTGTACATCAGGCTCCCACCTAACCGTAATATCAGTAGCACTGAAAAGAGAGCAGACAGCAACCTCCTTAAGACCACCAGAACGCCGTACAAATTTAGCATTCTGCATGTCAAACAATGCCACTTTCGTTTCCGGCTTATGTTCCTCCAAGTGGTCCTGATAGACAGATCTCGCTCTTTCAAGTTCAATCTGTGTGGACTGTTTCTCCTTGTTCACACACAAACTTAAATGGAAGATGTCAAGAGAAATGGAGTACCTCAAGTTCTTGTGCTTATCAGATATTGTGGACATTACGTCTGCAACCCGGGGTGTTCCATCATCTGAGGTACTTATTACAACTCGACCACCCTGTGATCCATAATTTACACGCTTGGGATCTGCAACAACAGTATTTTCTAAACCCGCCTCACCACAATATTTCACAGAACACCTTTCAAGATTTAATTTCAAGAGCCGAGTCCCTTTCCCTGATGACTTGGACGAACGCCCCCGGCTTTGTGATGTTCTTCTTTCAGAAGAAGACATATTTTTCAAAAGTGCTTGAAAGGACATGGCAGTTGATATAAGCGACTCAACACGCTTGAATGTGAAAAAGACACCCATACCAGTCACATCAACAGATAAAACCAATTTACTTTTAGCACCATCTTCTTCAGATGATTCCATGTCCTTTTTGCCCCAGTCTAGACTAACCTTTGCAACATTAATTAAAGAACCTGAATTCGATTCTACACCAAAAAGGCTCTCTTTCAAGCATTCTTGGTATTCATCTGCCATGTGCAAATTTAGTTCACCAAGTTCCATATGTACAGTAGTTCCTGTATTTGAAATGTTATTCGCAAATACATGCGATGATTGAGAGCAACCCTGCACCAGAAAATCAAGCATTATGACGTACGTTCATAATTTTATTTTTGAACTAAGAAAAATATTAACAGGAAAAAGAATACACTATGGATGGCATATAAAGAAGCTGTAACAGGAAGGGTTAGAGGTATACAATATCTACTTCACAGGACAGTGAAAGAGAGTAAAATCAACCAAAACCAACATCTATGACCTACATGTATATGCAAATGTTTTACATTCTGATATACGACTAAACATAGATCCCATAACAAGTGTGCTTGGACGCAAGTAGTGCTAGTATGGAATATGGATGACCAACTGAGAAGTTTTCATGTAAACCCCACTTTTACTTAGTTCAAAAAATAAAAAATTGAAACAAAAACTACTGTGGATTTTCTAAATGATGAATGGATAATTTGATATCCCTTGACTTATGAGCTCCCTCATGTACATAAAGTGGTACCGAGCAAGGACAAGAAGGGTTGAAAAACACTACAACCCCAATTCACTCACTACACCCACCAATCTCATACAGCTATTAAGTACTAGTACATGATATTCTCTTTACAAGGTTGCTTACATGCACAGCAAACTGTCCCTGAGGTTTTTTTTAACTATTTTTGCATAATTGATAAAAAAAAAATTACACATGAAAAAACTACAATAAAAAAGAAAAAACAATAAATAAATAAAAAAGTATCAGTTGTTCAGTGTAACCTAAAAAATATGATAGTGCTAAAAGAAAATCATGTCACTTACATGATACAATGGCAAACCACTGATACTATAAAGCACAATAGTCATCTCAGGGGCTGAAACAGTACACGTCCACATGATGGCTTTGGTATCAGTTGGTGGTGGCTTGTCGAGAGTTGAAGTTTCCTCCCGAAGCACCATTCTTTTCTTTTTTGAAAAATGGAGGCGCAACCACGGCTTTAATCGATTCATTATAACATTGCATTGAGTTCCTCCCAGCTTTACATCAATTTCAGCTCTAATAGGCGAGGTTGGCTGCAAAATAAAATGTCCAAAGTCAATAAAATGATCCACCATGTCATAAATGCAGTGCCTATTTGATATCTTTCCACTTTATCTGCATTTCAAAATGCATAATATGGCCGCTATTTATGTTTTTTACATAGCCATGAGCCACCATTGCAGTAAAACACCAGATTTATTAGGAGGCAAGAACCTAGATATTTAAGAGTCAGATGTGTACGAAGGAACCCTCATCTATCATACCAAGAGCTATGTCAACTTGTTAACTTTAAATCTTATCCCTAGCAAGCATAGTAATCCACTTCTTCATGTTGTGGTGATTCATCTGGCAACCTTTCAACCAAAAGGTATCAAGATGGCTTCCAAGTGCTGGTCAAATCAGGAAATATTGGTCAAAACCTTAATTCACTCTTTGGTTCACATGCTCTTGATCTGGTTTTCATTATTTTTCTCAATCTTTATAGTATGGAAAATTTCAGATTTGAATGAACTCTAGCAGTGGATCATGAGTCTTATTGTGTTCATAGTTGCTTTTAGGAACAGTGTTTTCTGGTCTTTAAAGGTTACTTCCTCAATTTCTTTCCTTATCTCCACCATCTTAATGCCATGCAAAAAATTGAATTGAACTTATCTGAGGACTATTAATGCATATCTGTGACAAACCACAATCAAATAATCCTAGTATAGTGCTAAAATCAATGATACACCAATAAATCCAGTATCAAGCTACCTGTTAATGTTTATATGTTTAATTGGACAATATATACCCACAACGTACAATATGACTCTAAAAAATATGCAGAGGGAAGAATATCAACTCTTAAGAGACAATGTTGCACAATTTTAATTGACAATACTTACCTGTATTGGAATGTAAAATAATGAGGCAACATCAACTTTCAGTATCTCCAAAACAGAAGTGCCAGCTTCTCTAAGCAGCTGAAATATAATTTAGAAAATCATCATCAAAAAGAGGCCAAGATGATGACAAACTTTATAACATAAAACACAAAAAGCACTTTAACAACATCAATAGTTGCATCCATACATGAATCTCACTGAAATCCAATTGAACATCAAGGCGTGTAGTTTCCCCCACGTCTTCACTTGATTGTGATTTGATGCTTTTTAATTGGATGCCCATGATGTTATTGTCAACAGATAGATCATATTCCCGATGTACAAATCTCACGTCCAATTTTGGTAAACTGAAGGAAACCTATTAAAGAAATATAATATTATCTTCCATAAGAAACACAAATTTCAATATAAAAAAACTTACACAAGTGGATGAACAAGATGTTGTGTGACAAAAGCACATAAACAAGAAAAAGGAAAGATGCTCTATTACATGTCAATCTATACGATTAATGGGGTTGACATGGAAATCAATTGCTAACATCATATCATTCAGTGCATTCACTCTAGGTAAGAGGTACATGGTAGGAGAAGCAAGAGAAAATGTTGTATAAAGAAGAAACATGAAAAGAAATGGCACCATTAGAATCCAATGTCAAGGAAATACCGCAGCAATAATACAACCAAAAATTGATAAAAAGATAAATAGGCCTTTCATCCAGTGTCCTGCTTTCGGTCCCCAAGTGGGAAAGATTCTTGTGTTCAGGTTTGACCAGATTTTTAAATAAGCTACACATAAAATGTTCATGACTCCTCTGCCATTTATGATTCTTCTGCACGGGAAAGGAAGTACTCAAGAGTAAACTGTAGAAAAATATGACATGATGCATTCACTACGAGACACCAATTTAGCCTTGTTCCTGAGTCTCAATAATGTATACTAGATTACTATTCTCACATCACCATTTGGGCTTTCCTCTGTGTGCTAAGGACTAAAGAGCAACATGGGAATTGGCTGGGTGTTAGTCCAAATTGGAAAGAAAAGGAAAGAAACATATACATGAAACAAAATCACCAAAAATCCAATAGAGCATATAAATAAACTTAGCATTTCTACGTTCTAACCACCTATCTTGTCCGCAAATGTTCAATTAAAACAGAACAATAACACCATATTAATTCAACTGAAGCAACCAAGACAGTTACCATTTTTGTAAGTGATAAAAATGACAAAAGATATATACATACAGAAATTCAGATCTATCTTCTTTTCATACCCAGAAATCCCCCAAACTCACTTGGCAAACTAGGAATCGAAATTCAGGACCCTGCCAAACCCTACATTCTTTGAGAGGCAGGAAACCCTAGAAAATAGTCCCGATAGGTGCCTTAAGGAATTGAATCCCAGACCAAGTGGGAGGCAAACCATAGCCCTGACCACTCAACTAAAGCCTCGTTGGTAAAGCAATCCAAATCTATCAATCATTACTAATTTAAACACTAAATCAAATGAATTTGAATTCACATCTCAAGAAGCTTAATTCAATCCAACTCAAGGTTTTGGAACTGGCTTTTGGCATCAGCGTCCTCCGAATTCACAAATTGTTCTTTCTACCTTCTAAAATTGGACTGGTAAGCTGTTATCTCTTAAGGATGTTGTGTTACACTTAGCTGTACTTTGGTTTGCTTCTTCGTAGAGTGTTCTTGGGGTATACTTTGGAGCTTACTCTCCTAGCCTTGTTTTAGTGTTTTATGTTATATCGGACTACTTGTTCGCATTACCTGTACTAGTTCTTTACCTATCTACAGATATAATTTGATTCCTATCATCAAAAAGAGAAAGAAACAGAAAACATTATTTGTTTTAGTGTAGTCTATAACTTAGTTTTCTGAGGCCATCAAAACCAGACCAAAAGAATGAAATTCAAGAAAGGTTATCAGGTTCCATCTTGAAATTTACAGAATTCCACCTGCTTACATTACTATGATACTGCGCTACATGACTCTAGTTTCCTCACATCCAATAACAGACAGAAGTATAAATACTTATTGCAGAATAATTGTACACATATCTGATTCTTGTACAAATGCTCATATAAGATAGTCCCACACCTAATTCTTATAAAATGTGATAATAAAGCTTGATGTCAAATAATGTCTTTGATGCTTCTAGTGCAATTAGGTTGCATCCTTTGTGTCTTTGCAATTTCATATTTTTATAGGAAAGTTTTTATTAACAAAATAGAAAGAAAAAGAATCTACAAGATGGACAAGGTGGCCATGAAAACCAACCCTACAATCATAAGTTCCAAATAATTAAATTACCTTCACTAAAAGGAATATCCCAAAAAAACTTTAACAAAGACGCCCACAGAAAAGCTAAACATCTAATTTTGTTTCAGTAGAATCTTAACAAAAAGTGTTTGGCATGGTAAGAATAAAGAAAAAAAACAAAAACAAAGGGAAGGGGGTAAAGAGAAAGGGAGATCATGTTGACAGCCATCTTAATTCACAAACCTTTTCTGGACATAAAGAGGTGTATTTTGAGAGTGTAGCAATCATTTGTTGTTTTTTGTGTGGCTTTTTTGAAGCAACAGAATCAATAGTCGACCCTATAGCCGTATCAGGTTGAGAAGAAGTGTGTGATGAACTTTTGCTTTTCGAAAGCAGCTCCTCATTAAGGTTCACAGCGATCTCTCCACAGGCAACGTCCACATTCTTGATAATTACACCAACTTCCCTACGTCCAAATCAAGCAAATAAAAAGATATTAGCTAATTAACCATCCTTGTCATTGGCAAATTTACAACAAGAATTTTAATGATGAAAAATGTAGTCAATCCCATTATGGGAGGATCTGAGAAGAGATCAACAAATTATATTAGGGCGACATTTGATAACAATAAACTACGCTTTGGCTGTAAGGCGTAGGTTTGCATATGTGGAAAGAAATATATTTCTCTAAAGAGAATACCTATCATGACCAAATTCGCAAGAGAGGGCGAAATCTTCACAGATAAAAAGAGCAGACGACCTGTCCATCATGGAAGATGATGACTGGCTTGCAGAAAGGGATCCTCCGGTGCAAAAATTGGATAACTGGTCACAACTAACCCGTGGTTCACTCCTCTGAACAACAATAGGTGATATCTGTAGCTTAACAATAAGATTTTGCTTGGATTGGCCATCTTTAGATATGTCCACTTTCAGTTCCTTAACCTCAATAGATGCTTTGGGCATCTGTAACATTTCAAGAGATAAGTATAATGACCAAAATCAAGCCATAGCACAAAAAGATACAACTGAAAAATGAAATAAAAAGCCTACCAGTTAACGAACAAATGAAGTATAGAGTTTTGAACTTAATCCTTTTCAATCCTAAAATTTATACAAACTGTATAACCATTATTTCTTGTTGATGGCACATTGCAGATAATGGTTGTTCAAGTTCTTAGAATTATAATTTTGGGCCAACTACATGAAACCTCCAAAACTATAGGATCGATTTCAAGTTGGTACACAATGTTTAGAGGTTGGGCAAACTAGTAGAAAAACTTAAATAATACCTACATATTGATCCTTCCATCAACCAATCTCAAACCAAGTCTGTTAAATTCTTATGTCGCAAAAGGTCTCATTTTTTATGATTATCTGGACTCCAAATGTGTGCCATGTGTATCCACAAATGCCACGTAAAACACAAAACAACAAAAATGTAGTAACCTTACAAAAATTAAATAATGAAAATGAAATTAAAGAATAACATTTTTTTAAACAAAAATTAACAATATGAAAGAAACAAAACCTCCCTTTGTAGAACACTCTCTCTCTCCACCACCACCTCCTCCTTTCTCCCTCTATCTCCACCTCAATCACTCCCTTTTTGTCTTTTCCTCTCTCAAAAAGACCCTCACACCAAAATCTTCAACCAAGACAGAAAACTCTCTCTGCCCAAAAACTACTCAAGACATCCATCCACCATCTCCTCCCTTTTTCATAGCTATGGTGAACCAAAACCAAATATGCTTCTTCCTCTCTTCCAAGCGTGAAAGACCAGAAATATGAGGGAGGCGACTTAGTCCAAAATAACATATGCTGCATATTATGTTTAGATCTTTCAGCAACAAAGAGGACAATAAATATTTGAAAAAGATCCACTGCCACTGTAGTTCTCAGACGTAAGTCATCAGGGGTCCTCTAATTTTGTTTTTTTGAATAAAGACGATTGTATTGATAATCAAGAGGATAAGTAGTCCTCGACTAAACAACAAGAGAAAACTCTGTTTGAAAAACAGAAACCAAGAACTGAAATAAGACTCTGAATTTACACCTCTCTAAGAAAGGCAAGGAAAAACCAACAATGGTATGCTCATCTTAGCACAGCCCTCATATCTCTCAATATAATAGGGTAGTGATAATCCTTAAACTGATCGATAACAGATGCCCAAAGAGGAGCCCAAAATTTTACTCTAATCCAAAGTTCTTCATAAGACACTCCTACATACTCTTGGAAGATTCTGCCGTTGCGTTCCCCCCATAAATTCCAGAACAAAGAATGAACAAGACAGTCCCATAAAATTCGAGCTCTCTTCCCCTTTCCCAACACCGTCATTTTAAAGCTAAGAAGCTGAAAACAGCCTTTAGGGATTACCCAGATTGCTCCTACTTCACTTAACAACTTCCACCAGAGACTTAATGAATATGGGCAGTGAATAAATAAATGATCAATGGTCTCTGCACTCAACTTGCACAGCACACACCATTGAGGAGATAGGCACATCATCGGGTTCCTCCTTTGGATACGATCACAAGTGTTAACTTTCCTGTTCGAGATCAGCCACATAAGAAATTTGACTTTGGGGGGAGTCATCACCTTCCAGATTGAGGTAAAAGGGGGGAAAACTTCTGTGTTGCTGTTAGCCGAAAGAAAAAGTCTATAGGATTTACACGAGAACATACCGTGATCCTCCAGCTCCCAAATTCTTTTGTCTACTCTTGTGTTAATTAGGCGAATTACCCTCAGAACATCCAGTAGTAATACCACCTCCGTGATCTCCCCCTCAGTCAAATTCCTTCTAAATCCAAAGTCCCAATTAGGAGGGGTCGCTGCATCGATAACAAAGTCTACAATGCAGTTTTCCTTTTTCCTAGATAGGGAGAACAGTCTGGGGAATAGGTCCCGCAATAAACCTTCCTTCAACCACCGGTCCTTCCAGAATCTAACCTTAACTCCATTTCCAACTGAAAAACGGCAGCATTGAAGAAACAGTCCGTATCCCTTTGAGATATCACGCCACGGGTTTCTGCAAGAGCCTGTAACTGTCAATTTAGAATCCCAGCCAGTGGAGTCAAGTCCATATTTGCTTTTTATTACTTTATGCCACAAAGCATTGGATTCAAATGGGAATCTCCACAACCATTTTGCTCTTAAAGCTTCGTTTTTAACTCTCAAGGAACCAATTCCCAATCCTCCTGCTTCTTTGATTCTGGTCACCCTCTCCCAATTCACAAGGTGAGCCCTCTTGCCTTCCTCTACTCCTTCCCAAAGGAAATTGCGCATCAGTAGTTCCACCTTGGCTGCGATGCTGGCAGGCATTTTGAAGATAGATAGGTAATAAGAGGGGATGTTGCTTAACACTGCTTGGATTAGTGTTAACCTGCCACCTTTAGATAAACAAGTCTGCCAGAAAATTGTTTACACTCAACCATAGAACCAAGCGCTACTGTCGTTCTCATATGTTGGCTAATAGACCTCAACTGATGACACCACTGGCTCCTGGAAGAGCCGATAATTAAACCCCACGCAAAGGGCAGTAAGGAGTTTGTGAATGGCTAAAGGCTTGACCATTGAGGTTTCAGAGTAGTTGTTCTAGAACTCGAAGGGTGTGCCCAGGAGGAGGTACAACACGCCATTTTGGTCAAAAACACGAAGCGCTGTCGCAGGAGATGACACCGACATAGGAGATGGTGCAGGTGGTGAGGAAAAGAGAGTGAGGGACTGGTTGACAGAACGGTGACTATGTAGATTTTCTTTAAGTTTGTACACTACTTTCTCCAACCTCTAAAGATCTTGTACCAACTTGAAATCGACCCTATAGTTTAAGGGGTTTTACGTAGTTGACCCTACATTTTTTTATATTAAAAAAGATGGTGTTGCCTATTCTTTCCATCTATTTCAATTACTTAACCTTAAACCGAATTTATGCTTCAAATGGTGACTATAAATATTCCTCAAAAAAATTTCTCACGGAAAAACTTCTATGCACTAAGAAAGAATAATGCAAGCAGAACGTATTTCTTCCAAAAGAAAAAGGGAAGAAGAAAAAAAGCACTAGTTCAAATTCTTTATACCTTCAAAACCAAATCTGTGATGGAAACCGACAAATATCTCGCAATATTAGCCACAACCATCATCCACTTTCCTCGGCCTGACTGACGGGGTCTTCGAGATGGATCCCTTCGAGATTTAGCCTTTGGCGTACTTCTATTTGAAGGCCTCATTACAACTTCTATGTCACATATTAACACTTGCAGCTTAGGGTCTTTAGAAATAAAACCAAATAGTTTGACCAAGGACTGACGTAAGCTGAGTTTAATTTCACCAACAGAAACAGATTCAATAGCACCCTGCAAAATTATCAAAGTTGTAAAAAGATGAATATCATCATTGTATAGGCACTAATCTTCTGACAGAACAAAATTTATACCCATTAACAATCATAGACAGAAGATGCCAAACAGTATCTGGGGGCACCAGGGAGAGTAAGAGCAACAGAGCATTCTAGAGATTTATCACAAAAACTCAATTAACCACAAGCACATACACATGCTTTTTAAACAACATCTTAGCTCTGTTTCAAAACCTCAAAACCATTGGGGGGAAAAAGATAATAAAGCACCTTCCCATTTGGACCAAAGCCTCAATAAGCAAATGCATTTAAAATAAGTACGGAATGAAGCACCCAAGGGATCAGAATCCTCATTGAAAGTCAAAGTAGGAATTTTTTTTTTTTTTTTAAATTTTTTTTTTTTTTGGGAATGGAAACTTTTGTATTAGTAATCAAGAAGATAAGTTATCCTCGATCAATACCATATTGAATTAATTAAAGTGAAGCAGTCCACTTAAATCATTATAAGATACCATTTAGCACGCCAATTATTGAGTTCTATCTCATGAGAAACATGAATAGTAATTTAGTAGCATGAATTAGGCACATTATGTCACAAAATTACTAACACTAGATTTAACATGATAATTTACATTTAGTAAATGACATTACTAATTACACCATACAAGCATTCCCTTATTGGTAATTCTAGTGATGCTCCACTAGTGTGGGCCTCACAATACTTTTCTGAGCTTAACTTGAAATAAGGAACAAGGAAAACCTCTTTACTTCGCCAAAGTCATAATAACAAAATAAACCCAGCCACTGAAGCAAAAGAGAAAACCTTTTTAAACTCCACCACGAGATCCCTTATACATTTCCACCCTCCAAACCGAAATCTGATAGATGCTCCTACTACACGGCTCAAAATCCAAGCCAGCAACCTTGAAGCAAAACTGCAAAAGAGCTTAGAAGAGAAACTTTAAGAGGATAATAACAATTTGAATCCCGAAAATAACTCATTTAAATAACTGACGCTATTGATGGTTTTAAATTTAAAGCTAGTTAGGGTGGTGCCCGTATTGTTCAAACTAATATACCTACACATACAAGGACACGCATTGTCTTCATTGGTTTCCAGGACTGCTAAAATTGTGCCAAAATTGCAAATTCCCCAATATCAAGCACTCGAGGATGATGGTTTTAATTTTCAAAATTAACAAAACACCCAATTTATTCAACAAAATCTGACCACAGACCACACTTAGTCTTACAATTGGGAAGAAGCACAATCTAATTTCAACTACCACAGCCATTGTCATTAGCATCAAAACCTGAATTGCACCCAACAAAGTCCATTACCAAAAGAGAGAACTGATTAAGCCACGTTTGACGCATACACATACATGCATTCACAATTTCACATAAACACACACACACACACACACACACACACACACACACACACACACACACACACACACACACACACACACACACACACACACACACACACACACACACACACACACACATATATATATATATATGATAGGAAAGAGGGACGTACATGAAGAAGAGCCACAATGTGATGCAAATGACCAAGAAAAAGAAGAGGAAATTGACGGGCGAAGCTGCCATTGCTGTGTGCCGAGAATGTGACTTGCAGTGATGAGATTTTAGGGACTTGCAGAGAATCGAAAAATGGAAAGCATTCTGTGCTCATAATTTGTTCATGTCATAAAACCCTAGGAAATTAAAAGGAAGGCAGAGACTGTGAGCCAAGCAGACTGAGTCTTCTTCCTAACCGTAGCGATCGGAGTTCTTGCAATTCTTATATCAAAGAGAGACAGAGAGAGAAGAGCAGAAGAAGCAGATCCGATCCGTGAGGTAGAGCGAGAGAGAGAGAGAGAGAGAGAGTAGCGTGTAGTGGGACGGGTGGGGATCCGGTGCGGCGACTGTACGGACAAGTGCGCGCGTGTTTGCGTTAGTTGAGGAGTAAATGGGAAACGTGTCCTTTGGAGGTTGGGAGGGATCAAGTTAGTCAACGCTGCGTTTGGAGCATCACAGTTGGAAAACTTTGTAAGCGGCGGTTGAATTACCCGCGACGAATGCTTTGAAACGGAAAACTAAAAACTTAAAAACAATATTGTAATAAATAAAAAATATAAACCAAAATATATTAAGGTGGAGTGGATCCTTTTTAGCTTACTTGGCTATTGATTGATTGATCTTTTGTGTGAGAGAGAGAGAGAGAGAGATCGAATTTCATTGAGCTTGTCATGTTTCATCTGATTAAATTTAGAAGTACATCAATAAAGATACACATTATAATACCACTTTCATAATAAACATTTATACATATTTTGGCAAAAAGTCATTTTTGTCCTTCTAGTTTGCCGGTTTACCACTTTTGTTTATGTAGTTTCAATTCTGTCAAATTTATCCGTGTAGTTTTCAATTCAAAATAATTGAAGAACGCATTTCAATTTCTGTCAAATCTCTCTCCCCATTCCGTTATGTATTGACCCTACTGCACTCACGTGGAAGGGTATTTTGGTCCACTCGAGCCAAATTTTTCCCAATTCACCGAAATTTACCAATAATAACTCTTTTAAGAGGACCAATGATTTATAATGTGGGATTAATAGTCATTTCTTATAAATCAGTAGTCAGTAGGGAGGAGGGATTCGAGATAGAAGTTAGAGTTACCAACATAGTTGGGCATGGCGGATGGATTGGTGGGCTGAAAATATAAGTTATGGTCTTATGCCTAGAAATATTAGTTGAGGTTTGCCCAGCCCAATACCTCATTTTGGTTCACCCACGCCACGACGGTGGCTCATTTTAACTCTGCTCCACCCTCAGTGCAGTGTTGACGGAGGAGACCTATGTCGGTGAAAATCATGTGCCAACACCCAGTACAGGAGACTAATTATAAAAATAAATAAAAAGGCACTGATTTTCATTTCAGTGCCATATTATCAATAGAAGACCCATGCAAAAGACACTATTATAAGACAGTGCATATTACTACAATAGGCATTGATTTCAGTCCCCAAAGAATGCAATGGTTCATATTAATAGCTAGCTTTATTAAAGGTTAACACTCCAACAACAACAAAAATAATTTTATTGGGAAAATTACCTTTGTAATTTTTTTATTTATTGATAAAACGATATTCTAAACAACTTTAATGTATAATAAATATATATTTTATCAATTTATGATCTTAGCGTTGAAGAGGGTTGTTTTTATAGTTTTTTTTTTTCACGTGTTTACCAACTGCGATATGGTAGAATAAGAAGAAAAATTGGTGAAGTACACAACTTCTAAGAACAAATTTTCAACATCAAAATTTCTTTCCCGTACCAATCATGAACAACAGAGATCATACTGGAGAAGTTTTCTTCAACGAAAAGTATAACTACAATTAGAATTTTGTCAAGGAGAAGGTTGATGAAAACGACAGCCTTGTAGCTCTTGGTGATAAAAATCCTGTGGCACAAAAACAATTCTGTAGCTGTGACAGCTTAGAGTTGAAGAAGCAGCCCAGCTTTCGTTTTCCAGGAGCCGAATAATCTTTGATAAATCAATGGTGGCCTTATATATAGCGTGAAGTAGACGAAGTCTCACATATTCATATTTTCATTTCAGTGTCATATTATCAATAGAAGATTCATGTAAAAGACACTATTATAAGAATGCAATGGTTCATATAAATAGCTAGCTTTATTAAAGAGTAACACTCCAACAACAACAAAAATAACTTTTTTTTTTCCTTTTTAGAAGTTTTAACTTCTAGGATTTTGTTAATGTGGGTCATGCCAACGGACCGAAATAGATTAGAAAATAAAAATAAAAAACTTTTTCTAGGTGCACTGCATGACATCTCCATGCTAGCTAGCAAGAGCTCTTCAATCTTCATAGACCGATGTAAATTATCAATGGGACGTTTTAAAATGGGTCGGTTTGAAATTGGAACGATTAGCAGAAAGGAACCAGTCGGTGAAGTTTTCGAGGGTGGTTTCGTTAACCCTGTAATGGTTTTGAGTGAATTCAAGCAAATCTGACCATGTGAAATCCGGGAACTTTCTTGTGCCTCCCTCACTTTTGCACACAAGTTCCTCTGCGGGCTTCACCACCTTGTCAGCTCTAGGACACATAAAGAAGACCAAAGACCTCCTCTCCTTGTGGCTGTTCACAGCAGCCCTGTGCAAGCAACTCCGGTATATGCCATTCGATAATGCCTGCAAGATTAATTAAAACTCATAATTAGTACTAATTATAATTAATTATTAGTCAATTAAACTATTTAATTAATATTCAGTACATGCATGCACGCATGCATTTGTACATACATATATATCAACTTGATCGATGACAATACTCTAATTAATTTAAGCTTAATTAATTTTTGAATGAATTAAACGAATTATAAAAGGGAAAGGGTTAGGATTAGAGTATACGTTACGTACCGCAAAGACATCGCCAATGTTGATGACTAAGGCACCAAGAACAGGACGAACCTTGTGCCATTTGTTGTCAACAAACACATCAAGCCCTCCAACCAGGTCTTGGTGAAGAATGGTGAGGGCATTAGGATCACAATGAGGTCCAGTTCCAAGTGAAAGATTTGGCTCTTGGCAAGTCGGATATAAGTTGGTTCTCATGATAGACACAGCATCTTCAAAGAACTCTCTGTAGAGCATCCGATCCACTCCCAACCCGATTGCCAGGAGTTCCATAATTGAAAGAGACAAAGAGTGCATTGCTTCACTATACTTTTGATACACCAACCTGCGTACAAAAAGGAAGCTCAAAAATTAATTAAGAGCACGTTAAGACCTAACTATAATAACATGTGATACTTACGTACATATAACATTACTCTACTCATGTGTCTTACTTACCCTGTTTGTTCGAAATCTTTGCTTATGGTGAATTTGAAGTAATCGGCCACAATTTTGTCTGGACCGTCCTGGAAAGCAAAAGAAAAGGTTTCCTTCCATGGCAAATTGGACGAAAATCGATCCATATGGGCACCCGAATAGCCATAAGGGCTACCAGGACGCCTTTGTACCTTTATTTTCTCCTCGATGGGAAGATTAAAGAAATCATCCACATGATCATAAGCGAGTTGAATGAGATCTGCATCAACCCTATGGTTGGTCACTTGGAAAAAGCCATGCCTCAAGCAAGAAGACCTAATGAGCTTGGCAGCATTCTCAGTTGCCACAACATCACCATTGAAGAAGCCCTCAAGATCCACTACTGGCGCATTCAGCTCTTCTTGAGCAGAAGCCGCGTCCTCCTCAGGCCATTTGAAATTAGCGGGCACATGGGATTGTTTTTGCAGGTAATTTGAGTCAATAAAACGGGAACCATCCTTTGATGTAGGAGGAGGAGAGGACAAGACAACAGAGGGACTTGAAGCCATATTGGACAATTTTCTTTTTTCTTTTTTGCTTAAGATTGAGAGAGACACAGACAGTTGAGAATAGGTCAAGGTATGCAGGGAATTTATATACAATCCATATGGGGTCTGGGAAATGTAATTCAGATCAATTTTTAGTAGTAATTGTTCTTTTTGGGTATGTGCCGAGCATGTTTGGATAAAATGATTTAAAATGAAAGAATTTGATTGCTTTCCATACAAATACAATTAACTTGTTTGGAAAAAAAAAATACAATTAAATTGTATTATGGGTTTTTTTCTATGTACATACTATGTATAGTAATCTTACCAAACAAAAGAAATAATTACTATGGCAATTAATTTTGGCCATGTGAGGAGTTCATTGTATAGAATTGATTTAAAACAAATTTGGACGTGTCTTTACATAGTATTATTTTCAAATAAAGTTTCATTAATTAGTATCTACTCCTTGTAATTTGGATATGTACAATGTATTTTAAATAACTATATACAATGCATTTAAAAAAAAAAAAAAAAAAGGTATGCAAAGCTGTCACATTCAATACCGATGAACTTGCTACAAGCAGGAGAGAAGAGGAAAGGTGAAATTGTTAATTTGGTTGAATAGGCTTTTGCCATTTTGGTTTTAACAGTCTACCGCCACGGACATGCTGGATGCGTAATTGGCCATCCAAAGATATGCTCTAGTTTAGACTTCAACATTTAATCTAATTAGAAATGGCTTGGCAGGTGTGTACTTAATTGTGTTACAAGTAATGACAAAATAATTATTCAAGACGCTAATAATTATAACACACTAATAATCTTCAACCAAACTATGCTCTACCACCTACTAAGCTCTTAGCACCTGCACCTCATGGGATTTCACAATGAAGTTATGCCCCACACTTGCAACAGATGTCACACTTTGCACTCTCAGTGTCATGGCATCATTCACCACTCGATCATCATCCCTCATCTCCATCACTATATAGAAAGAGGTTCCTCATTGGGGTTACCAAAAGTCGACTCATATGACCAATTAAATTTTTTATTTTTATTTAATTGTTTAAAAATATATTAAAGAAACAAAAACTTGAAATTACTAAAATAATAATAACAAAACAAGCAAAGAGAAAATAAAAGAAAACAAATAAAAATTGTTGTATCACTCCTGTATCACCACTGTATCCTCACGTTATCACTACGGTATCACCCGTTTACCACGTTTAGGCTAGAGAAGAATTTATGAACTTTCTCTATTTTCTAGTTTCGACCTATTTCTCATTTTTGATATATAACTTTCAAACCGTTAATCCAAATTTGATGTTCTTTATATGGTTGGATTCAGCATGAAAAAATAAGAGATTTTCTATTTAAACCCCGCACTTCTCTTTGTTCACCTCAATACTTAAATCATTAAGCTGTAAGTTTTATTATTGTGGAAAAAGACAAAAAAGGTCATCCAACTTAATAATTAACCCTAGTACATCTATACACACACCCCACACACCCCACCACTCTTCATATTAAGTTTTAGAAAAATACAAACTCCTCTACATCCTATTTAAATTGGATCATGACATAGGTAAAGTATAAATTGGAACAAAGAAAGTATTAAATTTCGGGTTTGGGGTTCCATTTGTTTGTGTTTTTTTTTTCTGTTGGGAACAAAGAAAATTATGGGGTTTAAATAGAAAATCTCTTTTATTTCTTTTTCTTTTTTTTTTCAGTTTGGGGTGTATTTAAAGGTAGTTTGGGAAGATAGTGGGGTTTTCTTAGAAATTGTGAAAATTTAAATTAAAAGATATGGTGAACTTAGAACATGGGGTGAACTAAGAGAAGTGTGGGGTTTAAATATAAAATCTCAAAAATAAAGAACTCAACGCGGATGGACAGAATTGCAAAATTAGTGTATAGAAGTGTACAGATCATTAAAAAGAACACTCAAAGTCTTGAATAATTATTTCGTCATTACTTGTAACACAGTTAAGTACAAACCTCCCAAACCATTTCTAATCAAATTAAATGTTGAAGTCTAGACTATAGCATATCTTTGGATGGCCAATTACGTATCCAGCAAGTCCATGGCGGTAGACTGTTAAAACCAAAATGGCAAAAGCCTATCCAACCAAATTAACAATTTCAATGTTCCTCTACTTCTCTCTTGCTCGTAGCAAGTTCATCGGTATCAGATGTGATGCATTGTATATAGTTATTTCAAATACGTTGTACATTTCCAGATTACAAGCAGTAGATACTAATTAATGAAACTTTATTTGAAAATAATACTATGGAAAACACATCCAAATTTGTTTTAAATCAATTCTATACAATGAACTCCTCACATGGCCAAAAGTAATTGCCATATGTATAGTAATTATTTCTTTTTGTTTGGTAAGATTACTATACATAGTATGTACATAAATAAAAAAAACCATAATACAATTTAATTGTTTTTTTTTTTCCAAACAAGTTAATTGTATTTGTATGGAAAGCAATCAAATTCTTTCATTTTAAATCATTTTATCCAAACATGCTCGGTACATAACCAAAAAGAATAATTACTGCTAAAAATTGATCTGAATTACATTTCCCAGACCCCATATGGATTGTATATAAATTCCCTGCATACCTTGACCTATTCTCAACTGTCTGTGTCTCTCTCAATCTTAAGCAAAAAAGAAAAAAGAAAATTGTCCAATATGGCTTCAAGTCCCTCCGTTGTCTTGTCCTCTCCTCCTCCTACATCAAAGGATGGTTCCCGTTTTATTGACTCAAATTACCTGCAAAAACAATCCCATGTGCCCGCTAATTTCAAATGGCCTGAGGAGGACGCGGCTTCTGCTCAAGAAGAGCTGAATGCGCCAGTAGTGGATCTTGAGGGCTTCTTCAATGGTGATGTTGTGGCAACTGAGAATGCTGCCAAGCTCATTAGGTCTTCTTGCTTGAGGCACGGCTTTTTCCAAGTGACCAACCATAGGGTTGATGCAGATCTCATCCAACTCGCTTATGATCATGTGGATGATTTCTTTAATCTTCCCATCGAGGAGAAAATAAAGGTACAAAGGCGTCCTGGTAGCCCTTATGGCTATTCGGGTGCCCATATGGATCGATTTTCGTCCAATTTGCCATGGAAGGAAACCTTTTCTTTTGCTTTCCAGGACGGTCCAGACAAAATTGTGGCCGATTACTTCAAATTCACCATAAGCAAAGATTTCGAACAAACAGGGTAAATAAGACACATGAGTAGAGTAATGTTATATGTATGTACGTATCACATGTTATTATAGTTAGGTCTTAACGTACTCTTAATTAATTTTTGAGCTTCCTTTTTGTACGTAGGTTGGTGTATCAAAAGTATAGTGAAGCAATGCACTCTTTGTCTCTTTCAATTATGGAACTCCTGGCAATCGGGTTGGGAGTGGATCGGATGCTCTACAGAGAGTTCTTTGAAGATGCTGTGTCTATCATGAGAACCAACTTATATCCGACTTGCCAAGAGCCAAATCTTTCTCTTGGAACTGGACCTCATTGTGATCCTAATGCCCTCACCATTCTTCACCAAGACCTGGTTGGAGGGCTTGATGTGTTTGTCGACAACAAATGGCACAAGGTTCGGCCTGTTCTTGGTGCCCTAGTCATCAACATTGGCGATGTCTTTGCGGTACGTAAATACTCTAATCCTAACCCTTTCCCTTTTATAATTCGTTTAATTTATTCAAAAATTAATTAGAGTATTGTCATCGATCAAGTTGATATATATGTATGTACAAATGCATGCGTGCATGCATGTACTGAATATTAATTAAATAGTTTAATTGACTAATAATTAATTATAATTAGTACTAATTATGAGTTTTAATTAATCTTGCAGGCATTATCGAATGGCATATACCGGAGTTGCTTGCACAGGGCTGCTGTGAACAGCCACAAGGAGAGGAGGTCTTTGGTCTTCTTTATGTGTCCTAGAGCTGACAAGGTGGTGAAGCCCGCAGAGGAACTTGTGTGCAAAAGTGAGGGAGGCACAAGAAAGTTTCCGGATTTCACATGGTCAGATTTGCTTGAATTCACTCAAAACCATTACAGGGTTAACGAAACTACTCTCGAAAACTTCACCGACTGGTTCCTTTCTGCTGATCGTTCCAATTTCAAACCGACTCATTTTAAAACGTCCCATTGATAATTTACATCGGTCTATGAAGATTGAAGAGCTCTTGCTAGCTAGCATGGAGATGTCATGGAGTGCACCAAGAAAAAGTTTTTAATTTCTATTTTCTAATCTATTTCGGTCCTTGTTGGCATGACCCACATTAACAAAATCCTAGAAGTTAAAACTTCTAAAAAGGAAAAAAAAAATGTTATTTTTTCTGTTGTTGGAGTGTTACTCTTTAATAAAGCTAGCTATTTATGTGAACTATTGGTTCCTGACTAGGCCTAATTTCACCTTGTAGTTTTTATAGCCTTTATATTAATTAATACTATTAGAAATTTTATTAAATCTTCTGTTATTAAATGGAAATTAAAATAAAAAAGGTATGACTATCCAAGTTTGAAACAAAGTTCATTTTTTAGGTGAAGAGATGCATCACTTGCCTTTTTAGATTAAGTCACATACTTTGGGAAATGGCTCTTCATCATCTATAAATAGAGAAGCCCACAACATTATTTTGTGTTCAATCAATTCATGGATATCTAGTTTTCTAGAGCATTTTTTTTTTTACATTAGTTTCTTAGAATTTTAAGAGTAGCTTAAGAGAGAGTTCATACACAAGGCCGCATTCTTTATTCTTGTGGTTTGGAGTGCTACTACCATAAGAAGGAGGTTGTTGTATCCTAGGAGACATTTGTCATTAGAACCTTGAAGCACCAATGAGGGACAATTTCATTTTAGGAAGATAGAACAAAATTGTTAAGCGTATACGGCGGTGTCTTTGTTGTATAACATTTGGATATGATGTTGATATTTTGCAGCTAAATGTGATGTTAATACGGCGGTGCCGCGGTGGAGAAGACGTCTAGTGTGGATCATTTGTGTATTCGGATCAGAGGAGGCCTTAGATTAGGAGTACAAAATGTAATGTATTGACTGAGCTTTTTTGGTGTCTTTTCTAGTATGGATATATGGATACGTACTGGACGCCATACTACTGTTTATATAATGAATGGCTTGTTGGATGAAGATGCTTATAAAGTTGGTTTTGCCTAAATTCTCTCTGTTCTTTTGATTGATTCTATTATTGCATACTACCACAACACCCCAAAATTTCAATTACAAATTATTAACCCAAAATAGTTGGCAACCAATGTATTCTTTAATGGTGATTAATATAACCAACTAGAGTGAATGAGTCTATGATTGGTGTTAAAAAAAATAAGCAACTAAATCATCAGTGCTGGCCCCATAGACTCAACTCCAGATAGCATCTGACCAGAATCAGATTCACTGCAATTACATAAAACACATGACTATCAAGAGCTTACTTCATTGCATGTCGCATTGAAAAGTCAAGTACCAAGGTCTGAAATATATTTTTGGCACTCAACGCACTAATAAAGAAGAATAGCACAAGAAGCAAACCCTGATGACAGAGAATCATTAGACTAAAGGAGGGTCATGAAATTCATGCACCAGTCGAACTACTTCGGTTCCAATTCTGAAAACTTTTCATTTATGATCAAAATCTACCTCCACGAGAAGACGGGATATCTATAGCTAATCTATCAGAAAATGATACAGAATATTGTTGGAATCTCACACAATATGACAGATAAAAGAATGCTGAAACGAAAAATGGTGGTACATCTAATGGTAGATCTAAACAAACTATCCAGGAGATTGTAGAATAGGCATGCCTATTGGAAGTAAAATCTGCAGGCAGACTTTCAGAACAGGTTCTAATATAATCATAAGTAGATTAAACATCAGTTATATTGTATTTTTTTTTTCAACAAAACATTTAGGCACTTTATTTCCAAAATTGCATCTTGCTACTGGCATTCCATCACCACCATCATTCCCGACTCTCCAGGTGCGATCCTTTTTCCTTTGAGGCTTTTTGTGCTGTTTATGAGACGCAGTGGGCTTCTTGACAGTGACTTTCTTCTTGGTAGCAAGCCCATTAGCTATGTCAAATGAATTGAGGTCATCCAGGGCATGATCAAGCTCCGGTACGTTTTCACCTTCAGCATCTGCAGGGTTTTCGTTATCAGAGGCATCCGATTCATGCTGTTCAGACAAGCTGTGTTCCGCAACATCTTCTTCATTGGTCATTCCAGGAGGCATTTGGTAATGGGGCAGCTTCCCATCAATGTAATCCTTCAAAATTTGGCGCGCAGCTCTTGTTTCATCAGGGAGCCCACTTGAGGCAACGTACCCACGAGAGGCACAGTATGCCCTCAGAAACTCTGCTGCCAGAGGTGGCCGAGACTGCAGTTCATATGATTTGGGTTTTGGCAGATCAATCCTGTAAACTTCTTCAATAACATGTCTGGGAACTCGATTTGCCACTACCTGCATAGCCTCCCTATTCTCAGTCATTCGGTCAATTGGCAATACACCGGAGGCAATCATCTCATGTCTTGAGCTTGAAAAGGATGGAAAGACTAATCCAGGGCAGTCACATAGGGTTAACTCATCAGACATAATCAATGTTTGGAAATGCTTTGTCTTCCCAGGAGTAGAGGTAACACCTGTCTTCTTCTGGCCTACCAAGGCATTAATTGTCGAGCTCTTTCCCACATTTGGATAACCAACAAATCCCACAACTACATTCCTAGAAGCTGAATTTCCTTGAAAACGAATCCTGGGTGAGCCTATACTGCTGGATCCTGATTTCCTCCTCAGTTTGACTATCTCTTCTGCCTCAGACTGTAATCGAGTCAAAAGCTCAATCCTCCCATATATTCTTGTATCAGGGTCTTCTGATTCTTGCAGGCTATTTTCTGTCTTCCACGGGGAACTGAGATCTTTCCCCTCTGCAGCAGCTGAAGCAGCTTTAGCTGACCAAAATACAAAGAGAATATCTTGCGCACGAAAATATGTTGCCCACTTCTCTCTGAAGGAAAAGCCAAGTAATAAAAATATTTAGGAGGGTGTAAAATTGGAGAATAGATCAGATAATTATGGTTACAAAAATACCAACCTAACAGATAAAGGTAAGAGATCTGCTTTGTTAACGAGCAGCATTGTCCTTTTGTGCTCATCAACCTCTCGTGCATATACCTATATCAGGAAACAAAAATATCATGTAAAACTCATCCTCTAAGAGGAAAGAATCACAGTTTCTAAAAGTTCATTCCGAGAAAATCAACAACATATCTGATTACTCTTCATTTCATTGCCTATAAGTATAAACAATTAGTTCTTGAAATCCAATGGAAGGGATTCCCATCATCAATAGAGACCCGACATAAGCATGAAAAAATCAGTCCAAACACAAAGACAACAGTAACAACTTGCTCTTTCAAAACTTTCGAAGTCATTATAGTAATTAAAATCAGTATCAAGCACAAATTAATCCCAATTTAAAACTTAAACAATGTGCTTATTCCCTTACCATCCATTCTTTAAAATTAAACACCACAAGATGAAAACAAGCTATGAATTAGTAACATTACCTCAAGATCAGGGCAGCGATAGAACAGAGGGTCTCGTGCATCAACAACCATCACAAGCTGAAAACAAGAACAACCCATGTTAATTACATAACAGTAAATTGATAATGAAACAAAGACAAGGCCGTAGACTTTCTATAAATAAAAAAAAACCATCTTACCAAATCGCTTCGCTCAACGACCCGCCATAGCTGCCTCCAAATATCGAGGTTCTTCTCGAAAGGAGTAAGAAGAAGCTTGTCGTTCTCCTCAAGCCGCGCAAGGCTTCTGCGCCAGGTCAAGAAGGCCTGGCTTTCGTTGGCATCAAGCCGCTCCACAGACATTTCAGGGGTCCACGGAGGCCTCCGTGGGACCCGCAGACTCCCGGCATGCAAGGCCTCCTCTTCCTTCTGCTGCTCCCTTCTCTGCTCTGGGCTTATCTCATTTCCATCCCTTCTCGCATGAAATTACAGAAAATGAAAAACCCAATTGAGAAAATAAATAAAAAAACAAAAACCCAATTCAATAATCCGAAAAATCAAGAAGAAAAAAAAAGAGAGAAAATTTAATTCATTTGAGGGAGGGGTCAAAGGGGGAACTTACAAGTCGATGAGGAGGTTTGGAGTTGGGTTGTTGATGGAGAAAAGGCGGTCGGCCTCGTCGGCTTGTTCGATGATGGCGTCGATATCGCTGACTTCGGTGACAGATTCGAGAACCTTCTTCTGCTGCTTCTTGTACATAAGGCCTTTCTCTTTCGTCTGCTGAACCATCTGGTTGTGTTGTCTCACCAGAGCCCTACCCAGCCCCGTCTTCTCGTTCTTCCCCATTCTCTCTCTCTCTCTCTCTCTCTCTCTCTCTCAGCCTCAGAGTAGTTTTTGTTACAGAAACCCTTTGATATACAAACCAAGACTTCAAGTTTCAAGTGTTTTGGTGCTGTAATTTCTAGTTTCGGGTTAGGGTTCGAGACTCCCCTAAATACCAAGTTCTGAAATAGTTAGCATAGGTCGGTTCCAGGTGGGGGATGGGGATGGGGATGTTTGTGTAGTGGTGGTGGGTTGCTATTTTTCTTTTTTCTTTTTTACTTTTTCTTATCAATTTAGGGCAACACAAATTTTGAGGAAAGAGTGGCTAGCTAAACAACCTTTGGACGTGTCTTTATTTTCATTTTCGCTTTTTAATTAAAGGGATAAAATTGGAGCTTTATGTACAAATTTTTATGAAGTTGGGTGTCTAAAAACTTTTTTGATTTTCTCTAGAGATATTTAACGGAATTTCATGACCTCTTGAAAGCACCCTAAATATTTGGGCCAATTCAATAAACACATCATATATATACCCCTTACATTAAAAAAATGTCACATGTATACCCTTATTAATCCCAATTAGTATTTATATGAATTATTTACATAAACACTCCTTAAGGTTTTTGGTACTTTCACAAAACTCCTGAAGTTCCAAAAATTATTTGAACACCTCCTAAAATTTTAAATTTTCATAAAACTCATTTTTATTTATTTTTAGTTCAAATATTGATGATTTTATATATAAAAAATTTGTACAAATGACAAAGTTAACTTCTGATATTATATTACACATATATTCATTAAGGTTAAAATTTTCATTTGCTTAATTTTTTATTATATAAAATTATTAATTTTTGGAACCTAAAAGATTTTATGAAAATACTTAAAATATCATGAAATGTTAATGTAAAATAAATAACTCTATTTGTACTAATTTTCCAAATAAATAAAATAAAATAAAAAACGGGAGGTTTAGTGTTAGGGCTTAAATTTTGATGCGTAGATCCTAAACCCCTTTTTCCTTTTCTTTTCTTTTCTTGGAAAAATAGAGCCAAACTAAAACCTCAAGCACAACAGCACACCTTCTTCCTCCTCGCTGCTTCTCTTCGTCACGGTCTCTCTCGCAGCGAAGCCTGTCTTCCCCCCACTAACAGTCCAGGCCACAGCCGCTCTCCCTCTCTTTCTCAGGTCTCTCTCATCTTCCTTTTCCTCTGCTGATTTATTCTCTCTCTCTCTCTCTCTCACATCAAGCTCTATGTTTTGTTGATGTTTTCCCCCACAAAGATTGGGCAAAAGGCATGTGCTTGCTGAGCTCCTTTGAGCTGTCTGTATGGTAAAGTGGGAATTTAGGGCTACCCAAATGAGCATTTCAATCCCTGATTTAGTTGCTCCGTTTTTTTTTTTTTTTTTGTTTATCAATTTTGGATACTATTATGTCTCTTTAAATTTGTATTTTTGTCAAAAAAATTATAACAAAAATAATTATCTGGGAATTCTGAAGGTTTTGTTTGATTTATGGAACCGTAATTTATTCATCTAGTTACCAGTTATGTTTCTATGGCAAGGAATTCTTGAAAGAGCCCACATCCATGAGTTTGTGTTCATATTTTTCTTTTCTTGAAAGGCTTCTGATTAATATTTTTACCGACTGCATAGAAAAGTGAAGCTTCAAAGGCATGGAGGACGCTACAATTTCAAACGCAAGCTCTGAAGATAGAGTAAAGGCGTAAGTTAAACTTGTGAAGGTGCAATGATGCTAAATGCTAATTGGATTTGATAGTCAAATTCTGATTTTTACTTCTATTGCTTCTGTTTTTCAGAGAAGCTCCTCAGCTTGCTGCTGTGCTGAAAGAAATGAAGGAAGGATTAGATACAGTGAGGATCAAAGTCCAAGCTTTAACTGCAAAGGTAAATATGTCCCTGTTTCTTTGGTCATTGTAATTTCGCGGTAGCTCCATTTCTTGCGGTGCAGAAATGTTTGCTTTCTAAAAATTTCTGCCACTTGTTAGGTTTTGGGAAAACCATATCTAGATTGGTAGTGCTTTCATTGAGGCTTAAACTTAACGCAAGGGCTGGAAAAAGCATTTCCACTAGAAAGCTTGTTTTTCTTATAAGTTTCTCACTTTTTGCAGAATCAATATTTCCTTAAAACAATTGGAGATTATAGGAATCCCAATGGGCATGTTAGTTTACCAAGCATGCTAAGGCACATGTTTCATTTTTATTTTTCTTCTCCATGTATCAGGTGAAATCAAATAATTATCCAACAGTGGAAGGGATAAGCTATCTTGAAGCCAAGCATTTGCTGCTCTTAAACTATTGCCAGTCACTTGTCTATTACTTGCTTCGCAAGGCTAGAGGGTTCTCAATAAATGGCCATCCCGTTGTTCGGAGCCTTGTGGAGATAAGGTTGTTTCTGGAAAAGGTATGGAGGTCTTGGTATCTGTTTTTCGTTCTCCTGCCATTCTGGTAACCTGTGTAATCAGTCACTAATCAGTTCTCACCCTTTTGGTTGCAAAAGATTCGACCCATTGACAAGAAGCTACAATACCAAATCGAGAAGCTCACCAAGGTTACTGCAAGCACAACTGAGAACGTACAGCCAGCTGAAAAGGAATCACAAGCGGGTGTGCCTCAGCAAACAGACAATTTGTTGAAATATCGCCCGAACCCTGACATGCTTGTTAGCAAAGCAGATGTGACTTCTAAGGTGAAATGCACATCAGTACAGTATTTGAATTCCTCTTTTCCCACCTACTGGACCATTTAAAAGGTTTTTTCTTCTCTTTATGTATTGTAGGATGGTAATGATGTGTATCGACCTCCCAAATTTGCCCCCACTTCAATGGAGGAAGAAAAGTTGTCAAAGCAGGACAAAAATGCATTGAGAAAGGAAAAGAATACTCTACGACAAGCTAGGCAGAGTGCTTTTGTTAGGGAACTGGTGGATGATTTGGAGGGGAGGCCTGAAGAGGTTTGTTGTGGACTGTTTTTGTGGGGTTACAAGGCATGAATGCTGGATTTGGATTTTCTCATAATTGCTTACTATTATGTCAAATTACAGATTGTAGAAAGTGTTGGAGCTGAAAGTTTAGAACTAGCCAGATACAGGGCAAAGATGGAGGACCGTGCACGGCAAGAAGAGGAGCTTTTTATGCGTGCTCCTATTACAAAGAAGGAGAAACAGAGGGAGAAACACTTAAAGAAGTCAAGAAATGGGTATGCACACTTTAAAATTAATTTATGGTATTATTCTCAATTATGTCAAATTTATTTGGGTAGAATTTGTTGTTGGCTGACTGTTCTGAACTTGTATATATCAGGTTGCTTGGTTTGACGGACAATTTCTATGATGAAATCAAAACTTTACCTTTGGAAGATGAAAATGATGGGCAGATTCCAAGCTTCAGTAGTGCTAGGGGTGGAATGGGGGGAAGAAGACATAAGAAGCGCAAGGTATATCATGTTGGTCTCAGAATAAAGATCAAATTTAATTAATGAAATATATATTCTCCTCTTTTGCTCTGAACCAACTCCATCCACGAAGTTCTGTTTCACTTGAACTTTAATCTTGCGTGATTGTTAGGGATTTGTACTCATGATGTCTGTCCGTGATAACTTTCTTATATATCCATTATGTGGTTGGTTGTACTAAATATATGATTTCGAAGTTTAGTTAATTAAAAGCCTCTTGAAAATGAGAAAGCAGGTCCTGTTCTCATGGGCATGCATGTGTTTTTGTACACAAATCATTTATGGAGGCTCCCTTATTTGTCTTTATATGAAAAACTTTAGCTAATATATATGCTTCGTGCTTGAATCATGAGATCAGCCTCTAGATAATCTGGAAAAGGATTGTTATGGCATCTAATGAAGACTCTGTTGATGAATGATTGCACCATGCTTATTAGAGTATTGGCTGCGGGCTATAACTTGCCATGATTATGCACTTTTTTCCCCATCCCAACTTATCTAGGAATGCCTGCATTTGTTTTTCTCCATTATATATGCTGCTAGATAAACTGTCTGATCTTTTTTTCTTCCGTACTTGTGTTTATTTTCCTATGGTTTTTATCGGGCTTTTTTTCTTCTTCTATATATATTAATATTATGCAAAGGTTTATTGCCCTAGTATTTGCTTATAGTGAAGGCATTGACAATTCTGGCCCATTGTGCAGATGAGGCGTTGAAGGATAAGCCAGCCTCACAACTCCAACGATTTCCTTGCTGACCTAAATTCCTATTGCTATAGTCGCATGAAATGGCTTCCTTCGAATCTGAAGTGTTTTTGTCCTTCTTTTGAGCGGCAGTTTCTGGGCTGATTAGAGGAGGGGGGGAGTGAACAAGTAGGGGGGAAATTTTGTTATTTGGACCGACCAGAATTATTTGTTTTAATGGGTATTTTTTTTCTTCTAGATATGTATGTTTCTGCATTTGCAGAAATCTGAATGAGATTAATGGGTTTACATACGTATACACGATGTGCTATAACCTAACCCTAAAATCAAAGGACTCCTAATAGTGATTTACTTATCTTGCGTCAAACAATTACCAGTTTATAAAGTACCATTCAAATCCCATAATTGGTGGATTAGGGGTCAATCCAAGCTTAATCTGAGAAGTAAGTTTGACCTGACTTTGAGCTTGCATTCCAGTTCAACTTTACTGTGCCAGGGGAATCGGGGTTGGAAGATTGCTCTGGCATCCCTTGAAGTTGGCTTTGCTGGGTTGAAAACACAGCCGTAGCGTCAGTTTTAGAGTCAATTCTATCTTCTGAAACCAACGCCATTGATAATAAGCTTCTTACTATTTGATGAGGTTAAAATCCGAGTAATCCAAGTTTAACTGCATTTCAATTTTTTAAGTTCCGGTTAAAGTTTTTTCTTTTTTGTTTGAATTGATAGAATTGAATTTAAACAGTCAAGGTCGGAAAAAATGAGTTGTGTTCCAGTTCTTAAAGAGACTATAAGAATATAACATCTATAAAAGTGTAGTATGTAATGTCAACTAATTTCGGAGCCATCCTTGGCAAGCTGAGGCATGCTGTATAGAATAAGACCCAACAAAAGAACCGCGCTACCAAAGAGGAAAAAGGGGCTCAAAGTTGCACCCGCTTCCAGATATGGCAATGGAAGGGAAAGAATATAAATCGATATCGGCACTGCAGGATAAACGAAAACTTATATTAGCAAAAGTTTATTCAAAAGCACAGATTTGATGCAATGCTTGTATATGTCCACAACTACAACAAACACAAGTGCTTATGTGAATATCTAGTAAGTCTCCTATGTTTAAAGTATCCCAATCCAAAAGCCAAAAACTGTCCAGTTGATAATTGGATTTGAGGGATCCCTCAATAAAAGGGAACTATATATACACACACGTGGTAAACTTCAACAAACCTCATGTCCAACCCTTTTTTTGGGTGGTTATCCACGTGGACAAGTACCCTTCATCGGGTAATTGATGGTTCTTATGTGTAGTCCCTATTAGAGTTGGTGACTGACATGTAGTCATAATAATATGATCTTGAAATATCCAACCCATAAGCATTAACTGTCAGGTAGAAAGGTCTACTAAGTATATGTAGACTACATGGCAACAATACTAAGTACTTAGCATAACCACTATGGGACCAGTGCTCAAAGGTATGTATACAAGCGAGAAAGAGAATAACCTGACAACATCACAATGAGAGAAGCAACAACCGCAGAGGAAATCTTTACTACACTCAGCAATGATATGTTGAAAAACAGATTGGTACCTATGTAAAGCAACGGAAGCAATGGAGCCCCATTACAACCTGAAACAAGTGACAAATGCATGTGTAAGAACTTGGAACTCAAAAAACCTCAAGAAGCTATTAATCTTGACGAGAACCATCACTTTGAACAACTGAAATTGAACTACATTACGGAAACCAAAAATTTATTTTCATCATGCCAGATTATAAATGAGCTTTTTGTCTCTTCAATGCATAAAATTAGTAGGATTTCCCATCATTAATTCCTAAACATCATGAAACCGTGTAGGTAAATTTTATCATCAACACCGAACGTTCACTTTCACATGTTCTCATAAATTTATGATATACACTGTTCAGATGTAACTTGGTGTCATATCAGCTTTTAGCATTCTTGTGATGTTACTATAAGCTTTGCATATCAAACCAACAAGTTTGATTACTCTTACTATTCGATATTTCCTGCTCGCAATACAATAATAGTTTTTCATTGCATTGAATCATTTAAAAGGAAGAAAGATAAGAGAACTCCATATGCTTAATATAACACTAGATGGAAAGAAATTAAATAGAAATTGATGGTAGACAGATTGTTGAAAATGACAAAATGCTTAAAATGTGTATCAAACATTAATATCAATGTTTTCAGATTGTGAACAATTATTAAGCTTACTTATGGGCTGGAGAGTAGATAATTAAACCAATCATCATTGACCATGTTAATCAGTGTGTAGACAATGACAACATGTATGTCACACCAAACTCCCAAATCCAGTTAATTTACAAAACTAAAGAAGAAAAAAAAACTGATATGACAGCTTGCCTGATGTGTCAGCTCCAATATTCAGAAAGCAACCAGCACCATCTTTAAGATATGAAGGAAGTTGTGCAAATGGTATGCCTCTCAGGTTTGACAAGAATGGTAGAAAGAGAAGTATAAAAAGAGCCTACAAGTCAAAGGAAATAAAGAATAATAATTTTAGCAAAACCAGTGTCTTTTTTCAATTATATCCAACTTAATATGTACAAGACATTTCAGTTAACCCGATTAACCTGACTTTGGGAGTGGACACGTATGCTACCGGTCAGCCTCCATACATTTGAGTGAGCATAAATAATTTAAGGGAAAAAGAATCCCCTATCAATGGTCATTTTCTAATTAAAGAGACCCTCAACACACCTATCAATCTAAATAAGATAATGCCAAAAATCTTTGTAGTTCTGGTAGGGTCTCCTTTATAACCAATTAGGCCACCTACTGAGGTGCATCAAGATATTACAAACAAGAAAACAATATATCATAAACTATCTTAACAGAGATCAACACAGTAATCACCTGAAATCCAGATCCAAAAGAATTGACAACAAATATGTCAAGTGATTTTTCCTGCAATTGAAAAGGTTTATGGATTGAGAAAGTATGCAGCATTAGCTTGTCAACCAGAGAACAAATTTGAGAACAATTTGGAAGGCCAGCTAATTACTTAAAAGAAAAAGATATTGCCATACCTTAAGGCGGCCCGCAGCATCAACGAAGACGAACTCCTGTTCGAAGACAACACCAAGATTGATTATTTTGGTTATAAAGGGCACCACTGAACTTATAACAAATGTTCATTGTTTAACCTTGATTATAGATGCACCAGCTTGAAAAGCACTTGAAGCAATCATTAGTGCTGGCCACATAGACTCAACTCCAGATAGCATCTGACCCGAATCAGACCCACTGCAATTACATAATACACATATGACTATCAATAGCTTACGTCATTGCATATATCATTGAAAACTCCATGAGTACAAGGTACTCAACACACTAATAAGGAAGAATAGAACAACAAGAAAACCCTGATAACAGAGAATCATTAGACTAAAGGAGGGTCATGATATTCATGCACCGGTAGAACTATTTCAGTTCAAATTCTGAAAACCTTTCATTTATGATCAAAATCTACCTCCACGGGAAGACGGGATACTTGTAGCTATTCTAACATACAATGATACAGAAGCTTGTTAGAATGTCAGGAATTGTGGTAAAGATGAAAGAATGCCCAAAATAAAAATGGTGGTAGATCTAAACAAACTCTCCAGGAAATTGTAGAATAGGCATGCCTATTAGAAGTAAAATCTGCAGGCAGACTTTCAAAATGGATGCTAATCTAATCATCAGCAGATAAAACATAAGTTAATTGTCTTCTTTTTTTAAACAAAACATTCAGGCATTTTATTTCCAAAATTGCATTTGGCACTGGGACAAAAAATACAGAACGGATGTCAAACTGTTCAAACATCTTACAAGACCTCTTTCTTCGAAATTCTTCTTTTCAAGTGTATAAATGTAATTAGTATATCATGGTTAACCACATTCAATTTTTCTGATGTTTGCTTTGATATCAGCTGGCACCAGATGCATAAGCATGCAGATCATTTATCGTTTGCAGGTATTGCATAAATTTAAAGTAAACCATATCCAAGTGACTGCTAGTATTGACCTTCAAAGATCTGTGTCACTAATCCTTCCACTTAATTGACAGAGGAACCAGATAATATTACATTTAGCGAAATAGAGTAGCAGCTCTTAATCCGTCGAAGAATGGATCAAGGTACCTTGTAACAGCCGCTGCTACACCTATAGCTACGAGTATGCAGCCGGAGATCTGATTGAATGTGTATGTTCTCCCCAAAAGAAGGACAGAAAAACTCAGCTGCCACACCAAAAACGTCTGCACAATATGGAGACATAAAAGTAAAAGTAAAACTGAGGAGAGGGATTTTGCAAAAATAATGGTAAAAAAAATATTCAAAGTAATAAGCACATTATTCTTTTGGATCTAGACTAAGGTAAATGTTTCATTATATACTCTTTGAATTTCATTTTTCTCTTCATACTTCTATTACACTAGATTATAAGCAGGGAAACCCGTTGTCCAACTATTCAGGGCTGGGGGGCAATATTCTGCAGCCCTGCTAAGTTCTAATTATTCTATTTAAAGGAAAAGGAAACAGAATTTCTTTCCCCAAAATATTTAGTTCATTAATTGTTCACATAAGAAATTAGTTCAGTCCAAACTGGAATAGGATCTAGGATCCTTGACCAACCTCAACCTGGCTTGAGCTAAAAAATAAAAATCAGCTGCTAGATGAATCCAATTGGCAGTCTCACATCTAACATGATTTTACACTGCAAGAAAGTTTAGACTTATTCTCCTCTTTCCATAAACATTTCTGGAAACTGAATGGTTAAGGTAGCTTTCCTTTCTCTTCAACTTTTTTCAGCAATATTTTACTACAAAATTATCTTGACCTCAAATGCTGCAAGGATAACCCCAATAAACCCTTGGCCATAGTGCACATCTGGTATCTTTTCACAAAGTTTCTGTCCTTCAAGCACCTTCGTCATAAACACTGCTCTCATTGATTATACATTATATTTTCTCACGAAATAGATTATCCTTCTAATGACATATGGCATGCCTCCATCCTGCTGATGGTGATGGGGAAGCCCTCCATTCCTGAACTCCAATATAGCACATGGGGCATAACCTATATATGTTCTTTTCTTTCTTGTTCTTTACTTTTTTGCTGGAATAACGGAAAATACCTGACTCAATATGGGTATGGCCGGTCCGGGAAGCATGGCTGTCGAGGATAAATACAATTCAGAAAAATAAAACACCAAAATCATCACTACTAAAACACATTTGCTGCTTTGATTTCTCATCACAAC